TCTTATTTACAGTGTCACCTGAAAGTGAGAATAGGCATTTGCATGGCACTGTTGTAGCTGGCGTTGCAAGATATTTACATACCGGATGCGCTAAAAATTCATATGTCCCTTCATGCTTCAACCAGTATTCCAGAGGACATGCATCCGTGCTGCTGACAGGTTCTGCTTGATAACGATCGAAAGCAGGGCGGACCAATGCATGTTCATTTTCATCATCTGAGTCAGATGCCACCAGCAGATTGCTTTTCTTTTTTGGTGATTGGGTTCTTTAGTTTCCACATCAGAGTGCTGCTCTTTTAAGACTTCTAAAAGCATGCTTCACACCTCATCCCTCTCAGATTTTGGACGGCACTTCAGATTCTTACACCTTGGGTAGAGTGCTGTAGCTATTTTTAGAAATCTCACATCGGTGCCTTCTTTGTGTTTTGTCAAATCTGCTGTAAAAGTGTTCTTAAAATGAACATGTCCTAGGTCATCATCTGAGACTGCTATAACATGAAATATATGCAGAATGTGGGTAAAACAGAGCAGGAGACATACAGTTCTCCCCCCAAGGAGTACAGTAACAAATTTAATTGATGCATTATTTTTTTAACAAGCATCATCAGCATGAAAGCATGTCCTCTGGAATGATGGCTGAAGCATGAAGGGGACATACGAATGTTTAGCATATCTGGCATGTAAATATCTTGCAACGCCAGCTACAAATGTGAATGCCTGTTCTCGCTTTCAGGTGACATTGTAAATAAGAAGCAGGCAGCAGTATCTCCCATCAATGTAAGCAAACTTGTTTGTCTTAGCGATTGGCAGAATAAGAAGTAGGACTAAGTGGACTTGTGGGCTCTAATGTTTTACACTGTTTTGTTTTTGAGTGCAGTTATGTAACCAAAAAAAAAAAATCTGCATTTGTTAGTTACACTTTCATGATAAAGAGACTCCACTTTAGTACTTGTATGAGGTGAATTGAAAAATACTATTTTTTTATCATTTTTACTGTGTATATATTTGTAATCAAAATCGATATTCAAAATGTAAAAAAAAAATCCAAACATATTTAATAAATTTCAATTGGTATTCTGTTGTTACAAGTGTGATTAATTGCAATTAATTGTTTTAATCACAATTAATTTTTTTGAGTTAACTGCAATTAATTGACAGCCCTACTAAATATCATTACTAAAGAGTAATTTAAATTTTAAAATTCTGCTATTAACTATGCAGATAAGGGAATTTCTTCTAAACAACTGTTTTTAAGTTATTTTTAATAATATTATAATGAGTGTTGCTGCATCTAGTGAGGGGGGGTCTCTCCTCTTTAAATAAATAATAGCAACAGGCCTTTGGCTTCATCACATCCCAGGCATGGGACAATTGCAAGAGCATTAACTGCCCCCGAAGTCTTATTCTAACTAAAGGAAGCTTACATTAACCAGAAAGATAGTGACATTTTTAGATTGTGATCATGATGTGTAATCCCAAAGAGGGACAAAGTTAAATAAGCTCAAACATAGTCCTAGCCCTGTCTCACTGTATCTGGATAATCCAGCATTTAGAGTATATTAGGATCATGCAATTAAGAGACATCTGCAATAACAAGGTACAACTGCAAGGGTCAAGACTGAAAGCCCATTTTTGTTTTGGTTTGTTTATTCTATATTAAATGCACACTGCAGTTACTTGCTTTGCTTTTTCTAAATCAGGGTACTTTGGCTTTTAGACTAATTAAAGGTAAAGTATTTTTAAAAAGTATTTTTAAAATGCCTGTGGATATTTTCAGTTTTAAAGTGCCTGTTAATTTTCCAAATGACCATTATCTAATTTTTAGACTGTAACAAATAAATTTTAGAGGTGGTTTTGTTTAAGAAGGTAGTGTGTGTGTGTGTGTGTGTGTGTGTGTGTGTGAAAATAAAGATAATTTGACAGCTATGTTCTTAAATGATAGATTCTACCCTAAAACAGCTTTTTATGGCTGATATGTTTGAGAACAGTGATTATTTAGGATCAAACTTTGGCTCTATCACACCTTGTTGCAAGGTGGGTGAAGTAATATCTTTTATTGGAGCAACTTCTGTTGGTGAAAGAGACGAGCTTTCAACCTACACAGAGCTCTTCTTCACCTACAGAAGTTGGTCCAATAAAAGATATTACCACACCCACTTTGTCTTTCTAATATTATGACACCAACCCTGCAAACAACTTCTCCATACAAGAAAGTTGTGCCAGTTTAACTACATTACAGCCTATGTCGGCAGAACTTATGTCGCTCAGATGTGTGAATAAACCACCCGCCTGAGTGACATAAGTTACACAGACCTAAGCGTCGGTGTGGACAGAAGCTCTCCCGCTGCCGTAGCTGCTGCCACTCATAGATGTGGTTTTATTATGCTGATGGGAGAGCTCTCACCCATCAGCACAGAACCTCTTCACCAGATGCACTGCAGCATTGTACGTGTAGACATGTCCTAAAGGTCTGATTTTGAATTGATTTAGTTAAACTAAACTGCAACAAGGCTGCTTTAAACCACACAGAAGTTTGCATCAGTTTAAGTCTATTAGGAATCTTTGCAACCTATATCAGAATAAGCCACTCTTAAACCAGTGCAAACTCCTCTGTGGATATTTTTATTTTGATTTCAGTACGTGTGTTTAAAAGCATACCTCCAGCAAAACTGGAATAACTTTCTCATACAGATGAGACTTTAGAATAGATTAATTTTGCCAGTGACTTCAGTAGAACCAACATTTGGCTTGTAGAAATGAAAAATCTGGCACAATTGTAGTGTAATCATTAATGGCCAGATTGAGTAAACGTTAGAGCTAAATTCCACACAGTAGAAATACCCTCCATCCTCTTCCTGGAAACACACATTTTTGGGATGTTTGTGGTACAGTCTAGCAGGTTTTATTGACTCTTTCCCTAAGTTTAAAAAGTCCCCAATCCCTAAAATAAGATGTTTAATATGTAAAGATGTTTACTGCAATAGATTTAAAATGTATACACACAATTATATTGGTTACGGCGAATTACTTCATGTACTTCCTCAAATAATTTTAGTAAATCATACCCAATAAATAAACATATAAATCATCCAGAATAGCAGTATGAAACACAAAACAACAAAAAAGCACTCTCAACCACTAGGTCACTTTTCAAATGTTCATATCACAATTTTCTTTATGCTTAAAGTTTAATTGCTACCTGTCACCAGATAACAATGGACATATTAGCTGTATCACACAATATGGCAACTAAACAGAAGATGAGAGAACCAGTCAAGCTGTTAATGATCACATTACTATGGTAATGCCTCCTGGTGCCATTCAGAGTTAAAGGGCCTTTTTGAGGGACTGAACACCCATTGCTCCTATTGACTCAATGGAAGATGTGGGTGCTCAGCAACTTGAAATCTCCTTATAATTCAGATCCATTTAAGGTTCAATTGAGATACACCATCAGTTTTTGTTGCAGTCCTGCAATTTTGCAGCAGACCTCATCAGACAAAAAGGAGGTTAAGTTACATGCCTGAGTTCACACAGTGACTCCACCTGGATGAGGACCAGTTCCCAGACTTTAATAAGATCACAACTGCCTGTATTAAAATTCCCTCTGGACTGGAACTTGGAACATAAGATCTCAAGCAACTTCCTTTTGAAGTCCCAAAATTGGTTTTATGTTTTGGCCTCTGTATGATTTAACTATTTTCAGGGGGGTGGGAGATCAATTTGTGAAGCTGATCAGTTGATAAAGCTACCTACTTTCTCTGCTGTATTTTAATGCCAGAGGCTGGTAATGCTATGCCATGGTACTTGCCAAAAAGCGAGTACCAGTGCAGTGTGCTCTTAATGGGAGCTTTGCTGTGGACTACAATGGGAGCAAGCATGCCAAGCGCCTGGGAAAGAACATTTCTTGTCAACTTTTGGTCATGAAAGCAAAATTATTACTGCTCCTCTTTGGGCTAGTGTTCAAAGTGGTGCTTATGGGTTTCCTTGTTTTCCAAGGCCTGTTGCAGTGCTTGGTGGATGGTAACATGGGATGGATCCTGGACACACTGACTTTTTTTTTTTTTTTTTTAGAGTGATTTCATAAACAGAGAAACCACTTTCCAAAAGGATTGTCTCCAAGCTAAGAGACCACTGGAATAACCTGCCCCCATCAGCTATTACTGACCTAACAGTTACAGTAACATTTCCAGTTCAAGTGGTAGTTACACTGGCAGCTGTCTGAGAATAGATTAGTAACATGAGTCAAGACAGAGGACGTTACCTATTTCACATGTCCAACTGTCTCTGTGACCTGTGCTCGTGGGATAACCCAGTAGTCTTGTCCAGATTGGTAGGTAGCTTGATAAGCATAGAGGAAATTTTTCCTTGTAACTTTGCTAGCAACCTCTCCTCCAAATGTGTGTAAACATGACAGACTGCAACAAATATTCAGTAGGGATTCAGGCAAAACTCCTAACGAAATTACTCCGCCATAGTCACTGTGGTCTAACAGCTAATACTGGTATTTAGAAATACCTAAAATATTTACATGAACTATAAAGATGAAAAAGGAATCATTTCAATTTATCATTTCATTATTCACTCTTAATTAGGTTTAGCATATTGAAAAGATTAAAAGCAGACTAGTTTAAACTTGCATATCAAAACATTTCAGGTCAACCTGTTCTGCTTTGATATTAAAGAAAGTGTGGAATGTTTAAAAATTCTCTGTTCAGAGACATTCTAGGCACCAAGTTGGGATGCTAAAAGTAGAACTGGACTCAACTCTGAGATTTTTGTGAGCCTAATTCAACCCTTTAAAGACATTTTTAAACAGAGGAAAAAAAAACGATATTTAACCATTGTACTGGTATGATTTGTTGTTGATATATTCCACTGTGACTCAACCTATTTAACAGCATCTTTGGTCACAATGGAGTCAAATATATAATCCAGTATTTTAGACATTTACCTTTTCCAAAGCTGCAAATAAATATTTTCAATTAATGAGACCTTCGGTAAATAGAGGTGCAATTTATTCACTAAAGAAGAAGTTTACTAACATTTTGGGTTGACATGATTGTGAAAATCCTTTGGGTGATATTAAAGCAAAATTACTACTACTCCAATGCCTACTTCTGAAGTGTAAGAATTATTTTTGCTAACTTGACAGAGTATAAAAATCAGATTCCAGTTTTTCCTTTTGTGAAAACAGTTGTTTGGAGTTAAATGTTCCACTGCTGTGCCAGCATGGTGTCAGTGAGTGCAGAACAGTTGGAAAATGGAATTAACTAGAAACAAAAAGTTAATTTGATTAGTCTGTTTTCATTATCCTAGCTGAGTGAAATGCAAAAAGTCTAACTGCATAAATAGTGAAAAGTTAGATTTTCACAAGAATCTTAAATTAAAAAGTTATTAGTTTCTAAAATAATATTTTATATGACTGTGTCCCTTGAAAACTGAAAACTGCCTGAAAATGATGTATGAAGTCCTTACTATAGAAAGAAACTCTTTTGCTATTATATTCCATTTGATTTTCTAAAGTAGGTTAAGGTCTGTGTAGATATTCAAGGGAGAATTTATTTTTAAACTATCAGACAACTTATTAATATTATTTTCTTCACTAACATTTTTTCTTAAAAAAATTAGTGCTGGTGTAGGGAACACCACCATTTTTATCCTCACTATGTATAATGGCTAATATTCAGTTATTTATAATAAATTAGGCCCAAAATATCAATGGAATAAAATAATGGAAAAATATGAACCCTTCAACAGAAATATACTAATTTCATTCTTTACAATATCTAAAATGGATTTCATCTAGTTCAAGATTAATTTTGCCACTTGCATTTTATATTACTTTGACTCTTCTATACAGCAAGATGAACAGAACAAAGCAAACATACTAATAGCCCCTCCCCATAATGGTTTTAATAAGTAAGATATTTAAAACTATCTATTTTAGCTTTTTTTTAAAAAAAAGATAGCAGAGCCTAAAGACTACGTAAGAATCAGCATCTGTTGGTCGACACTATAATCATCTCCATTCTGAGTGGGATAAATGAGGGGGAAGAGAGAAACTGGAGAAGCAGTGTCCCAAGTTATGAAAAATAAACTTGTGCACTTAGCAATTAGTCTGCTAAATCTTCAGGGATTTTGCTTTTTTCCTTGGTTGCAGTTGAAACACTTTGTTTGCTCTATGGCAGTATGCCACACTGTGTTCAGTTATAAAAAGTTTTCAATCTGTCACTTAACTTTGGGTGCTTTTTGTGTGTATATGCGTGAAAGTTTCCATTTAGTTTCACTGAACACAGTGCAAACAAAGGCAAGAAACTGAAGTTACATCATGAAAACCAGGAGCTCACACTAAAAAACACATAAAAGCAGCATCTTGTATATTCTGTTTTCTACTGTCTTCATTCTGGGGAAGAGGAATCGTCATCATCATCATCTTCATCATTGAATGAGCATGGGGTTTCTCCTCGTGACTCTGAATAACGTGATGTTGCACTGCTGGATTGTTGACTACCAGGGGCAAGGAACTGTCCAGTTGCTAAGGCCACTTCAGCATCCAGACACAATCCTGGATTTCCACTATCAAAACAACAGAAAAGTCATCCTGTAACTTGAGAGAATTTCTCATGTTTGAGAACTTTTTGTGGCTTCTTGTTTTTATTTAAAAAGAAGCTACCAACAAGAAACTACCTGAAACATTATAATTTAAAATGAATCTAGTATTTGTGAAAGGGGACAGGAGGCAGAAAAGCAAAAGAAACTCAAGGATCAATAGGGGGTATGCCAATTTCTCTTGTCCCAGCTAGGGAAGCTCCTGAAGCCAAGAGAAGGAATCGAAAGGGAATAACTCTCCCATTGCCTTGTCTATGCTGTAGTGCAGAGGTGGGCAAACTACGGCCCGTGGGACCGTCCTGCCCGGCTCCCAAGCTCCTGGCCTGGGAGGCTAGCCCCCAGCCCTTCCCCTGCAGCTACACCGCAGTGCGGGCAGCACTCTGGGCGACGGAGCTGCCTGCTCATGCAGGGCAGCACTGCAGCGTGTCTGGCTCAAGCCAGGTGGTGCGGCAGCCAAGGGGTTGGACAAGAGGGAATGGGGTCCCGGGGGCAGTCAGGGAACAGGGGGCGGTTGGATAGGGCAGAGTTTCTGGGGTGGGGGCAGGAGTTAGATAGGGGGTGGGGTCCCAGGAGGGGACAAGGAGCAGGGAGGGTTCGGATGGGTTGGGGATTTTGAGGGGGGCAGACAGGGGCGGATAGGGGTTAGGGGCCAGGCTGTTTGGGGAGGCACAGTCTTCCCTACCCGGCCCTCCATACAGTTTCACACCCCAATGTGGCCCTTGGGCTAAAAAGTTTGCCCACCCCTACTGTAGTGTGTACATTGAGAGGTGAACTGCCATGAGCAAGAACTTGTTAGGAACTCTAGGGGCCAGAAAAAAAAGGCTTTCTATCCAAATACATGACGACAAACATTTAGGTATTGTGATCAATTTGTATTTTAAAGCCAATTCACAACCAAGAAATTTAAAAATTAAAGCAAGGATTAGGCAGTGTGGAACTTATTTCCCTGATGGTGCTGGCAAAAGTTAGAACATGTACAGACACCAAAAATTTCAACTAAAATCCTCAAGGCTCCAACTTGGGTGAAAATGAAATAAAAAAAAGTCTCATCCTACTCCTCATGATGAATAATGTATAAAAAAAAGTTTGAACTGTTCACAAAGAGTTCTGAATTATGAACAAACTATTTTAGATCTTTCTAAAAGGTGAAGAGACACCACTTTTTCAAATCTCCTATACAAACACAGTTTGTCCAATTAACTTCAAATGTACACACACCCATTCTCCTCTGGGCAGAGACTACAAATCAGAAATTGTCTGTGCAAAGAAGCCTTTTATCAGAAAGTTAGAATGTTCCAAAAATCAGTCATCACAGAAACTCCTTTTATACATTTGAAATGCTACAGTGGTGCCTCTGTAGTGCTTCAGTGTAGACCAGTGGTTTCCAAGCAGTAGCTCGTGATCAACTGGCCAATCCTGGAGTCTCTGGCAGTCAACCGTGATCTCCGGCCACTAAAAGTCTGGCGGTGCACGGGGCTAAGGCAGGCTCCTTGCCTGCCCTGGCGCTGCGCTGCTCCCAGAAGTAGCCAGCACACGCCTGAGGAGGGGTGGGGGCAGGGGTCTCTGTGCACTGCTCCTGCCTGCAAGCACCTCCCCCACGGCTCCCATTGGCCGGGAACGGGGACCTGCGGCCAATGGGAGCTGCAGCACACAGAGCCATATGCCCCCCCTCCCTAAGGGCTGCAAGGGTGTGATGGCTGCTTCCAGGAACTGTGTGGGGCCAGGGCAGGCAGGGAGCTTGCCTTAGCCCCGCTACGCCACTGACTGGGAGCCGCTTGAGGTAAGTGCTGCCCAGCGGGAGCTTGCATCCCAGCCCTGAGCTCCTCCCGGAACCAGCACCCCATACCCCCTCCTGCACCCCAACAATCTGCCCCAGCATGGAGCCCCCAAACTCCCTCCCAGAGCTTGCACCCCTCACCCTCTCCTGCATCTCAACCTCCTACCCCAGGCTCAACCCAGAGCCCCCTCCCACACTCCGAACTCCTTGGCCCCAGCCCAGTGAAAGTTAGTGAGGGTGGGGGAGAGCAAGTGACAGAAGGATGCGGGATGGAGTGAGTGGAGCAGGGTAGATCCTGGGTTGCACTTAAATTCAAAAAGGGATCTTGTGCGTAAAAAGGTTGGAGACCACTTGTGTAGACATTACCCACACAAACAGGACGGGTTCTGCTCTTGTCAGAGGAAATGCACCTTCCCTAGAGCTGGTAGCTAGGTTGACAGAATTCTTTGGTCGACTTAGCGCTGTCTGTACTGGGGGTTAGTTTGGATTAACTATGTCACTCAGGGATATAGATTTTTCACATGCCTGAGCGATGTAGCTGGATTGACCTAACTTTTTAGTGTCGTCCAGGCCCTAGTGTTCTTTATATTTAGTTGGGGTGAAATTCATTCCTATGCTAGAACACCCTATTTTGAGAGTGCAAGTGGTGCATCAGGGTGAATTTTGCACTTTATCAATACAATTATCACAGGAAACTATCCTTCATTCTTTGAAATGGAAAAATCACTCTCTAGTTACCTTGATTTAGAAATAGACGTACCGCCAGCCATTTCTAAAGTTGAAACTGAATGAGCTGAATTTAAAAGTAACCCCTGGTTCGACCATGAAAGTCCTGTAGACATATCTAAAAGAAAACACAGTTACATGTTAAAGTTACAGCAACATTTTTCTTTCTTTACAATGTTAGAATCTCCATTTAATTTGCTTTTGGATGGCTAGCTTTTAATTTAAACGCTATGTACTGTTTTTGCATCATTAACCATAACATTGCTAGTACTATACAATCATCATCAAATGTGGTACTCAGGAAACATTCAGTATTTATTTTCCACAAATGACTTTCAGATTAAATCTGCTCTGCTGAAAGTGTCAAATAGGTTCCAAGTACTGTAACTTCAAGATCAACTTAATATCTAAATTGTGGGAAATAGCTGTTTTCTCTTTGCTCCATACCTCACTAACTACAGATATCAGCATTTAGTTTATTGTGCTGATGATTATACAAGACCCAGAACATGAAACAACATTCATAGCCCCAAAACTTTGTTAACGCAGAGTTAAGGTTGTTGGGCAGTGCCTCATATCCTTTCATAACGCTGGCTGCAACTATACTTAAACATCTGAAAACCAGGAGTTACAGCATGTACACCAGTCGTACCATTCAATCTTAACTCTGGTACTTAAGAGCTGGCAAGAGCCAGTGTTCATATACTGTAATTTCAGACAGGGCTGCCCTAAAATAAGCAGATATGAGGAATGAAGTAAATATGGCATGTTGTACAGAATTGTATTCTCTTGTCTACATGCATTCCAACTACACTCCACTGTGCTAGGGATGGCTGTGTTGACTGGTACAGAGATTATTTTTGGTAGGTTGCCACAGTGTTGTATCTGTACCCACAGAGCTTGAGACCCCTCATTTCTGTGCTGAGTTTTGTGCACATGCAAATAGAAGAGCACAGTAGTTTATCCTTGATGCAGAAATGTGTAACAGTCTGGGAGTAAACATGACAGCATGATTTAAAACAGACAGAAAAAGGTGATGTTCCAGAGGGAAGTCTTATAGGGTTAAAGGGTGGAAACATCTGGCAACGGTTTATACAGGTGAGGTGAAGTGATTGAGTATAGACCAGCATAGGCGCCAACTTCCCCTCTGCCTGGGTGGGTGCTTGACCCCCTCTACCCCATTCCACCCCCTTCCCCCAAGTCCCTGCCTCATCCTGCCTTTTCTCTGCCTCCTCCCCAGAGCGCGCTGCATCCCCACTCCTGCCCCTCTCTCCTGGAAAGTTCTATGTGCTGCCAAACAGCTGTTTGGGGGTGGGGGGGAAAGTGGTGGGGACACTGTGCGCTCAGAGGGGACCCAGGGGGGGGGCGCGCGGAGCACCCGCTAATTTTTCCCCGTGGGTGCTCAAACCCTGGAGCACCCACAGAGTTGGCACCTATGTAGACCAGGAATAGCCAGCTGGTGGTCACTAAGCCTGCCCTAAATACAGCTTTTGCCTGAGTGAGCACATGGTCTTACCATTTCTCTTACTGTACCCATGTACTCCACAGCATCTGGAACAATACAGTGCTAATCCAAAATTGATTCAGCTAATTCATACTAAAACACTCCTATCCTAGAATAAAAGCATCTACACAGGGACCTAATGAGGAATAACTATTTTGAAACAACTCCCAGCATAGACAATCCTTTGGGGCTTGTCTACATTTAAAACATTGCAGTGCCACAACGGCACCGCTGTAGCACTTCAGTCAAGTTACTACCTTTGCTGATGGGAGGGGTTCTCCTGTTGGTGTAGGCAATCCACCGCCCAGAAAGGCAGTAGCTAGGTCGACTGGAGAATTCTCCTGTCAACCTAGCATTGTCTACATCAGGGGTTAGGTTGGTTTAACTGTGCCGCTCACAGGGGTGGATTTTTCACACTGCTGAGCAATGTAGTTGTAGGGATCTAACTATGTAGTGTAGACCAGGCCCCAGTGTAGGAGAATGGGGCTCTGCACAACCCTCTGCAGCCTAAGAGATTCCAGGAGTATAAAGTGGTGCATTCAGCTCAATGAGGATTTTGCATTGCTTAGATTTTCTATAGCAATTTGTGGAGGAAAATATCTTTTGTGGTTTAATATTGCTGTTTTTAAAAAGGCCATATTACTCAGGGCAAGACTACACTACAAAATTAAAGTTGATCTAAGTTACGTCAACTTACAGCCACAGCAGTAATTAAACTGCTTTTGCATGTCCACACTATGCTCCTGTGTTGGCGGTGCACACCCTCACCAGGAATGCTTGCACCGATTTAACTGTCAGTATGGAGCATTGTGGGACAGCTTCTGAAAGGTGGCAACAGTCGATGTAAGCAATGCAGTGTCAACACTAACACTGCGTCAACCTAACTACGTTGACTTAAGTGCTATGCGTCTTCTGGAGGTATAGTTATTAAGTCAGTGTAGTGGGTGAGTAACAGTGGTGGGGGCTCCATTTTAGTGTAGATACCTACAGAGTTAGGTCGATGTAAGCTGCCTTAAATCAACCTAACTCTGTAGTGCAGGCCAGCACTAAATGTTTCTAGTGTCTTACAAACTGCCTCCCCATGGAAACGTCAGCATTTTGAGAGGAGAAATTGGTAGGTCTGAACACTTGGTTTGTGTAGACTGGATGAATTATTGTAGGAAGTTGAAAATTGTTTTATTTTTCATGATAAACATCAGTTACTATGTTGACTGACAATGGCATCCTGGCACTGCATCAGTCAATATTGAACTTATGCCAGTCTTTAGTACAGAGCTCTTATTAGGGGGGCATTTCCAGAAGCTCAGCAACCCATTTGAACATTCTGACATCCATCAAAGTCACAGTTACTTGCTTTTCTTTGTTTATATTCAGTTCTGTTGTTCAGGAAATGGGTGAGAAGCATATGGCATGATTTATATTACCCTAATACTCTTGCTTACTAGAGTCTTTCACCTTCCCGCTATTTGAAATTATTTTCCTTGGCAATACTTAAAAGTAAAATGGAAGTATGCAAGTGGGTTTTAGAGTACTCTGAAATCTCTGCTTTTTAAACCAGAAGCTTTTCTTTCAGGCCTACCCTTTCACAAGGAGCCCTTGCAGAGAGCAACTATCACAACACACAAAATATGTCTACACTACTGTACCATGGTGTAGATGCTTCCTTTGACAGAAGGTTTTTTTTGTCAATGTTAGACTTCACCTCTCAAAGAGGTGGTTTAACTGTCGACCTAGCTGTGCCTGCATCGTCAATGTCACTGGGCTGCAAAATTTTTCACAGCCCTGAGTGCCATAGCTAGGTCAATATAATTTTAAATTTAGACCAGGCCTTAGTCTCAGGAAGCTGACAAGGGCAGGACTCAAACTTACAGTACATGGGTGCTACTTGGTACTCCTGGGGGAATTTTGTACCACTGCACAATGAAGAATTTGCACAGAATTCCGTGTTTTGCCCACAGAATTGGGGCTGCAGGACTCTGCAGAGCCCACCTTGCATTGAGCAGAGTATTCTGCCCAGCACAGCAGGCATAGAGGACACTAAAGAAGCTGGTAGGGAGTAAAGGCTCTGGGGGTGCAGGTATCCGGGGGGCAGAGGGTTCCCCACAGCTGGGCTCTGGGGGGAGAGGGGTGCCACACAGCCCCCTCCAGCAACCCCCCCAACTGGAACTGGGTTGCAATAGGGGTTTCTTTAACTTTCTACTCCTGGGGGAATGTTTTTTGTTGTTGTGTGTATTGTTGACATATTTGTTGACAGGTATTTTGAAATAAATTACCAAAATAACTGAAACTGGAGTGATTATATTTTGACAATAAAATATGCAGAATTTTAAAATATTGTGTGTAGCATTTTTATTTTTTTTTTTGGCACAGAATTCACCCAGGAGTATACTTGGGTTCAGTGGCCAGAGCACATCACCTTAAGCTACCTACTCTAATGTCAGTATGTCTGCAGACACTGATTGCAGTAGAGCCCCCAGTCCTGCTGCACCTGCACAAATGACTTTCTCTGGATCAAGCCACTCTGTAGATCCAATGTTTACCCTGAATAACTTTTTAAAATATTGCTTCACTAAAGGGGAAGTAGGTGCTGGGGATCCATCCTGTGTAGCTAGTATCACAAAAAAAGTTAAACAGTAAAATTTTCATGTCACATGATTTTTTTTCGTGGTGGTGGTGGGAGGGATGGACTCTATCTTAGAAAACCTTATACTAGACCACTAAGCCTGCCTTGGATCTATTCAGACACAGCAATTTCCAAGACATTCTAAGTAAGCATGTGGATTTTAGAGTAGTTAAACAATAAACTAATCACAATCTAAAGAAGGACGCTGCTACCACTCCACTCAATATACAATACATGTTCCTGTTTAGAAACTATTGTCTTCTCAGTGCCGGCAGTAGTAAACCCCTTTTTTCCCTGCCCCCTCAAAGCAAACCACCCTTGGGTTTTGTTAACAAACTCAGCATTTATGGTTCAAGATACATAGAGAGATAGCTGTGTGCAATACCAATATGGTACTTTAGGTTAAATTTTGGACCAGACTCCTACTAACTTAGGTAAAAGTACACTCAAGCTTTTATTTAAAATAACATGATTAATTTCAGCACAATGAGATCTAGAGAAAATTAAAAAGTAAGAGTGTGTACATTTGTGAGAGAGGGGGCTTTCTGAGGGAATGGATAAAATGTAAACCTTTTGTACAAAGAAAACTTTAAAAAGTTAATAAATGAAAAGATTATTTCATATGTTTTGCATTTATCTGTATAAGCAATTCTAAAATGTTATTTTGGGCTGAGAAGTAACATATTCTTTAAGAAAAGTCATTTATTTTAGCAGAGATGGTCATATTTGGTTGTAGATTTTTCACCAAATCTATCCACGTAACTCCAGACTAGGAGATCCTTCCAGCTTTCCTTCTCTAATGGTTATGCATGTTCATTTAGCAAACACACACTACCATAATTAATCTTCAGCCTTCAGTATCTGTTTAGCTAAAATAATAGCACAATCTTGGTCCAGTCTCTGAGGCCAGGTATGCACTAGGAGTGCTTTAGTGGTATAGGAAAAGCAATACAGTAAAAACATCCCCATAAAAGAAACAAGCTTTGCTGGTATAGTTGCATCTACAGTAAGGACTTCTGCTGGTAGAGCTATGTCAGTCAGAGATCACAATCCTGACTAACATAGCTATGCAAGCAGAAATTTGTCCTGTACACATAGCCTGAGGCTCTCATCATTCTGTACAGTAAGTATGCTTTGCTAAGGAGATGCCTAGCAATGAGCTGATTCAGATAATTCTTTACTTCTGACACCCACTACAGAGGTTTCTCTTCCATCATAGTCTAGCTCATGGGATAGGCCAGTGTGAGAAAGCTCTAACCTTTGCTGTCTGCAACAAACGTAACCAGTAAATAAATACAAGACATTGATTTGCTATTCTTGAACAGTAGTTAACTAAAGCCTATATATTTTAAAGCACCATGGCAAATTTGATGGAAATAAGCCATAAAATGTGAATACTTAACCTTAAATTCACTGCTCTGGTAGTATAAGAAATAAAGCATGCCAAAGTTAAAAAGGGAAGTTATACTTTGCTGAGAGAACCATGAAATCAGGCAAATGCCCTCTTTGATACCTTTGCAAAACATATTTAAAACAGGTTTCAGAGTAGCAGCCGTGTTAGTCTGTATTCACAAAAAGAAAAGGAGTACTTGTGGCACCTTAGAGACTAACCAATTTATTTGAGCATAAGCTTTTGTGAGCTACAGCTCACTTCATCGGATGCATGTAGCTCACGAAAGCTTATGCTCAAATAAATTTGTTAGTCTCTAAGGTGCCACAAGTACTCCTTTTCTTTATATTTAAAACAGCTACTCCTATTTGTTACTACAGCATCTGATTGCAGTAACTACATAATTTATACTGATCCTCACACTGCATAATTATATTAGGAGCAACCAATAAAACAAACCTTCGAACTAAATGCACATACTTTAGTACACAATACTAGATTAAAAGAACCAAAACTTTTGGCCATATTTTCTCATAACCAAAATAAGACAGCTTTGAAAAATGTACTCAGAGCAACCCACATCTAAAGAGTACAGTACTTGTCCAGAGTACTTTGAATAAAGGCAAACAAATACAGAACTTGTGATTAGCAGCCAGAAGCCTAGTGTGTTACCAAAGAAATTATGCCAACAGCAAAAATTTTGCTTCTTTAAAAGTATAAAAACTTATACCTATATATATATATATTATAAATTATCATCTAAGTGACTGGACAACTTCCAACTGCATTATCCTCCCAAGGAGAACTATAAAATTACTTTTGTTTACAAGAAAAAAATTATTCTCTCTCATTTGTAGCAGAAACACCATTACCTTCTATAGAGCTTCCACACCTAGGGAACAAAGTATTAAAAATTAATCATCTATTCTTAGCTACAGGAAAGGGACGCAAGATTTTTTAAAATAATAAAGCAAATCAATACAAGGGTGAATACAATAAGGTGAAGTGAGATTCAGATTAACAACACAGGTGCCAGGCTAATGGCAGTGTTCCAATTTTTCTGAAAATTAAGTGTTGAAATTTCTTTTTAGCAATTTACTGTGTAACATTCTTTTAATTGGTGGAAGATCTCCTGAAGGGAATCAGAAAGTTTAAGAGAACTTTAGAACAATTTAAGTTTAGACTGACAACAACCAAGGACCAGAAGCAATTAAGTAACCTACAATAATGCATCATGCTGTCTAAGTCTATAACTGGAAGTCCACCTAGCTATGACCACTAAGCCATTCATCCAAGCAGAATGTTTAGGAGAAGAGGGTGGGAAGAGAAAATCCTCAGTGTGTACAGAATGTGACCAACCTTGGAGTTAATATCCAAAAAGACTTTCATAATACTGAGAAGTAATGTAACAAACACTGAACTTAAATGTCACTTAAGAACAAAGAGAGAAGACTGAATATATAGGAGAAAGCATAAGTTTACAATGATATTTGCAATGATAGAAAAATACAGAAAGTAATTATTTCAAGAACCTATACTATGCATTTTAAAAAAACATTCAGAATCTTATTCAAGGAGAGTCCAGCTATTAGACTGGCACACTGCAATTCTAATAAAAAGAAAAGGAGGACTTGTGGCACCTTAGAGACTAACCAATTTATTTGAGCATGAGCTTTCGTGAGCTACAGCTCACTTCATCGGATGCATACCGTGGAAACTGCAGAAGACATTATATACACACAGAGACCATGAAACAATACCTCCTCCCACCCCACTGTCCTGCTGGTAATAGCTTATCTAAAGTGATCATCAAGTTGGGCCAAGATAAGCTATTACCAGCAGGACAGTGGGGTGGGAGGAGGTATTGTTTCATGGTCTCTGTGTGTATATAATGTCTTCTGCAGTTTCCACGGTATGCATCCGATGAAGTGAGCTGTAGCTCACGAAAGCTCATGCTCAAATAAATTGGTTAGTCTCTAAGGTGCCACAAGTACTCCTTTTCTTTTCGCGAATACAGACTAACACGGCTGTTACTCTGAATTCTAATAAAAGAGATCAACACTCCTCATTTTAAGAGCAAATTCTACCTTTTAATAAAGGAGGGTTGCAACATTTTCTAGGAAGTTTAAAGTTAATGACACTTTGTGCTTTTCATTAATAGTTCTCAAAACATTATACATAAGGAACAAAGAGCTGAAAATGACTTGCTCAAGATCAGTAACAGAATCCATATCTCCAGATACACGTGCCCTATTTCCTCTAAATCAGGGGTTCTCAAACTTCATGACCCCCCTATTACTACATGATCCCAGGAAGGAGGACTGAAGCCTCAGACCACTTGAACCCTGCCACCCCAGGTAGGGGGACCAAATCCAAAGCCCAAAGACTTCAGCCGGAACAGGGGACTGGCAACCTGAGCCCCGCCACCCAGGGCTGAAGCCCTCAAGCTTCAGCCCGGGCTGGCTGGGCTCGAGCTTTGGATTTGGCCATGGGCTAAGTAAGTCTAAGCCAGTCCTGGCGACCCCATTAAAATGGAGTTGCGACCCACCTTGGAGTTCTGACTCACATCTAAATCACACTACCTCTCATTATTATTTAATATTTATAATGCAATAGTACTCAGAGGGCCAATTAAAATCAGGGCCTTGTTTTGCTATGTGCTGTACAAATACAAAGGAATATGTGGTCCATGCAAAATGAGAGATTTATAAGGAGAATCTCCTCAATAAGCTGAAAGAGCAATGTAAACATTAACACATTGTAAAATTTAAGATCATAAGTGATGATAGTCTAATATCAGCTCTGTCCTCTGCTAAGGTGCTCTCTATTCCATACATTTTTGGGGGAGTGAGGGAGAGGAGAAGAAAAGAGAAATGGACTTCCTTTTATAGGTCTTTCCTGTTCCTGTTATCCAGGATTCTTTTGAGCCTAAAGAGGAGTAGCAATGACACAATGAAAATACTGTCATTTTGAGGGGCTTTGGCTATATTATTGAGTCTCAAGGGTTACGTTGTCACCAGAAACTATTCATGGAATTATTCCTTTGCACTGCAGCCCATTCATGAATCGATATTCTAAACAATTTTAAATTAAGTCTACGTGTGCTCATCGAAGATTAATTTTAAAACCACCATTCATTTGTGGGATCCTGCTGGCTTTCATAAGTCTGCTTCAAACTGTCTTATGCCTCATGCTTATGTAGTTTGACATAATTAGAAATGCTTCAGTAAATTATGGCTTTGAATTTAATCAAGGATAATATTTAAAAACTTCATTTAACTTACCTGTAACATAGCTTTCTAAAGCTTTTGGCACCAATAATTTTGCAGTTCTTAGATCCTCCGCTGAGCATTTGCCTGCCTCTAGGCCAAAGGACATTCCCATTCGCTTCAGCACCTCAATGTCATCATGAATCTCAAACGTGTTATCAAAATTAAAGAGGTATTCAAATCTGTACAGGAGAAATGTCAAAGTGAGATGGTTCTGGAAGGAACCATGGGCCTGATTATATTTTCCTGTTCTATACATTGAGGAAGTAAATGTACAGATACAATTACAATATTTTAGGATTTCTTCAGAGGTCAAAGATGCTTTTTTTCTAAATACCATGGGTAGGTACAACAAGAGTTTTTCTCCTGTACTTAGGAGACTGGCATCTCTGCAGGGTTCGAATGATCATATTTCCCAATTAAAACAACTTTTTTCATGGCAGGCAATAAGAGTCCATAAACCTTTCTCCTTCATTAAACAGATTAAAAGATGAGGAAAACATTCCTGCTCCAGCAAGAACCCTTACTTGTACTAAATCCAATACTTTTCGAAAGTCTTCTACAGCTTTGTCACCAAAAATAACCATATTTATTTTTGCTGCTTTTTCCTTAAACTTTCTGTTCTAATCCACAACATCCCCAGTGTGAACTGCCCTATTTACTTAAATGTAAATCACCTTTTGGATAGTTTATCAATTAAATAACAACCTTCTAAATCTGTTTGCTTACAGGTCCTATATGTTAAAAAACTGTCATATCAAGTTTTGCCAGCATAGTTATTTCAGTTAGGAGTGAGGAAAATAAAAATCATACCCTTAACCAGCATAGGTATGTTGGCAAAATCCCCCATGTGGATGCAATTTGTACTGTCAGAAGAGTCCTTTGGTCAGGATAATGTATCTTGTTCAGGGTGGTCTCTCCACCATTAAGCGTTGCTGGCCTAGCTATACTGTAAAACCTCTGCAGTTTAGACCAGCCCTCTGTCCCAGAACTATTGCATTATTAGCTCAGCTTGTACTCTGCCCTGCTTGAAATACTGAGAATAAGCCAGAGGTCACCTATTCTTTCCAATAAATAAAGGACAATAATCAACTGTTTAAAATTTATTTTAAGCAGCTTGTCTCTTCTTCTGCCCTGAAAAGAAAGAGAAGTTTAACTAGACTGATTTATTTCTGATTAGAAAAAAGCCCACCGTCTTTCTATGAAATCCGTTTAAGCCCAGATCCCTAGAAGACAGTTTTTGTTCAATTAATGCTTGAAATGATCACAAAACACTTGTCAAACATGAACAACTATCTATTTCTTCAGTGCTTTTGCAACCTGAGACTCCAAACCAGCAAAAATGAAACATGTGCATAACTCTACTAGCACTGATGTAAATGGAGACTGAGCCAATATGGCAAATATCTGAAGCGACTATGTTCTCCAGAATTTCATTTAAAAAAAGAGAAAACCGCAAAAACACGAACTGAAGGCAAGATGCAAGTCTGCAAAGGGCCTGAAACAATAGCTCTGAAAGGTATGAATTGCCTCATTTATTTCATTAAGGTGCAAACTCAGGTGCCCAGTGATGATGATTTATATGTCAGCATTGTTAACTTTCATTCCTCATGTAAGAAAGGAGAGGAGGGATCAGTGATCCGCACAGTTTACTGTCAGTGGCATCTCACTTTGATGCCATAGGTGGGTGGCGAGTTGAAGACAGGACTGTTTTTTCCCCCTTAGTCAAGGGGTCTAACAGAGCCCATCGGCATACTAAAACTCCACTTGGGGAGAGGGCGGGAGCCAAGTTCAAGGAGCCCATTAGAGCTCAGAGAGCCCATATGATCACACTTTGAACAACTATGTGACCTATAGCCGGAGTTCTCAATGAGGTGTCCAGGGCCCTTGGGGGGCTGTGATCAGGTTTCAGAGGGTCCGCCAAGCATGGGGCATTAGACTCATTGGGGCCCAGGGCAGAAAGCTGAAGTCCCACCACGTGGGACTGAAGCCTGTGGCCCCAGGCCCTACCACTGGCAGCTGAAGCCTGAGCAACTTAAGTTTGCAGGGCCCCCTATGGCATGAGGCTCTGGCCAATTGTCCTGGTTGCCCTAATGTCGACCCTGGCTTTTATAGGCAGAAAAACAGTTGGGGTATGGAGTTTTTATAGCATGTTGTGGGGGCCTCAGAAAGAAAAAGGTTGAGAACCTCTGATCTGTAGTAAGTAGCATCTCATTCTAGCAACTGGCATAGAAGCAGTTTATTTTGTGGGTGGAGGAGTTTGGAGGAGTGCCGTCAGATCTTTTTTTCAGTCAGACCCCTGAATGGAACTACTCTTTGAGTACAGTTACACATGCTTTAATGTTTGAAGGATTGGGTCTAAATCCTGGTCTACACACAGTTTCTATACCAGTATAAACTGTCAGAGATATATTTTTTTAAATTTATATAGTTTATATAAATATAGTAGTATATTTATACTGGTACAACCTCTAGTGTGAACATAGTTATACTGCTATAGTTTAACTATATGGGAACGGCAATAACCTATATCTGTATTAGGTACCTTTGTAATGATGTAAGTGCGTACCCAGTAGGTGGGTTGTACTGCTTTAACTGTATCAATATGGTTGAAAAGGTACAACTTTTTTGTGTAGACAAGCCCTGAGAAAAAAAATCACACCAAAAATACTAAGTTGTATAGTAATTTCAAAGTTTAACTTAGAAATGTTTAAAAAAACAGTGTTTGCTGTACAGTATCTAGAAATAACTCTTGAGCTCAGCTGTGTTGATATGAATAGTAAAGTTATATGTATTACATGCTCTGCATTTCTGCCACAGAATTCATCCACATCTTACCTTGGAACACTGCTCTAGAATCCCAGCTTTTATTTTTTTAAAATGGCTTTTCTAGCCTTTATGGGTGAGAAGAAAACTTTCTAAATGTGAACCAAGTGCAAACCAGTGCTTTGGGGCACACCAGACGCTGTCTACACTGGTTTTTTTTCTTAAAATTTCCTGTTGTTGCAGCACTAGTATAGACCAATCACCAATATTTTAACAACTGTGATGTCTTACCTAACAGATTGATTTCATGTAGGGCTCTCAAATGGTTAAAAAAATTAATGAATTGCGATTAATCGCAGTTTTAATCATACTGTTAAGCAATAATAGAATACCATTTATTTAAATATTTTGGACGTTTTCTACATTTTCAAATATATTGATTTCAATTACAAATACACGGAATACAAAGTGTACAGTGCGCACTTTATATTATTTTTTATTACAAATATTTGCATTGTAAAAAAGATAAAAGAAATAGTATTTTTGAATTCTCCTTATACAAGTACTGTAGTGCAATCTCTTAATCGTGAAAGTGCAATTTACAAATGTAGAATTATTTTTTGTTACATAACTGCACTCAAAAATAAAACAGTGTAAAACTTTAGAGCCTACAAGTCCACATTTGTAAGTTGCACTTTCGTGACAAAGAGATTGCACTACAGTACTTGTATGAGGTGAACTGAAATATACTATTTTTTTTACAGTGCAAATATTTGTAATAAAAATAATAATATAAAGTGAGCACTGTACACTTTGTATGCCAGTGGTTCTCAAACTATTGTGCTGGTGACCCCTTTCATATAGCAAGCCTCTGAGTATGACCCCCCTTATAAATTAAAAACACTTGTTTATATATTTAACACCATTATAAATGCTGGAGGCAAAGCGGGGTTTGGGGTGGAGGCTGACACTTCACAACCCCCCATGTAATAACCTCACAACCCCGAGGGGTCCCGACCCCCAGTTTGAGAACCCCTGCTGTATTCCGTGTTGTATATATTTAAAAATGTAGAAAAACATCCAAAAATATTTATAATAAATTAAAATTGGTATGCTATTAGTTTAACAGTGCAATTCAAAGTGCGATTAATCGCAATTCATTTTTAAAACTGAATTAATTAGTTTTGAGTTAATCACTTGAGTTAACTGCAATTAAGTGACAGTCCTAATTTCATGGTGATTAAGCCACCAGCAGCTGCTGGGACCTTGTCCACACATGCAGCCCACTGGTGTGAACACCAGTTGACTGCACAGGGAGTTGCAACAGAAGGAAATCGTAAGGGAAAAATATAGTGTAAAAGGCCTCCTGAGATGCAAACAGTGGCTTTAGGGATGTGAAATGTCCCACTCATCTCAATGGGGTGTTAATAGTACAGATTGATGATATCAACAATTTAAAATATATCACCACTGATAATTTTAGTATCCCACAATCTCAAACTCCCTCCCATGCCTTCCCAGGTACCAAAAGCTTCTGCTTACCTACCAACAACTTGAACAATTCAGTTATGAAGTTTCAATAAAAAATATTCATCTTATTAACAATTATTTAATTTGATATTAGGCTTAAAAATTAGGGTCAAATGTAAAAATAATTGACGGGATATTATGCTGTACTATTCATTGGAATATTTCATTCAATAAAAATATCAATTTTTAATCTACCATTAGCTGTCATAGCATTTCCAGGCAACTGCACTGGAGTGTTGCAGAAATTAGGCCTCTTATAAGAATTTCAGCCAACTGTGCTGCAGAATGCACAAGGTCCTGATTATACATATTCACTAACAAATTCACTGTAGCCAGAATTGTAATTTGGATGTTGAAACTGAAGCAATTAGGGACTATTATTTTACTTCATTATAAAGTTTCACTATGTTCAAGTTCACCATAAGGAGGTTTCACTGTAATGCAAAATCAATGTACAGTAGAATGAAATCCATAACCAATAACATTCAAGGAAAGAGATCTATTTACCACTAATAGACTGTTATGATCTAGTAAACAATGATACATCAAGACTGTATTCTTTCATCAGCTGATAGAATTCACAAGAGAGCTGAGAACAAATAGCAAAATCCAGGAGCATGTTATACAGACTCCCTCATGTATAAGTACAAGAGTCACAGGTTAACAGCAAAGAAAAGCTTACAACTAAATCCATAATGCAATAAACCATAACCCAAGAAATAATGCAAGCGAAATATTTCGAACTGTTGCATACTTTCATTCTTCTCTATCTTACGAAGCATTAAGGACAGTGAACCTGGTGCCACTAAAATGAACCAAACATCTGTTTCAGAGTTTTCCCAATTGTCTCTGGCACTTATTTCCATCTCATAATTTTGAGCAAGTTGGTAGCCATATAACTCTGAATAAAAATTGTAGAGCATGTACCATACATTTTACAAAAGCACAATGGTGGTTAAGTATACTGAAAGAGGTATCAAACACCATAAGCGCTGATTTTATTTTTCCCAGTGGATGTTCCACCCCAGCTCTGCCCTGAAGCTCTGCCCCTTCCCCCGAGGCCCCCCCCCTTGCTCTGTTTCTTCTCACCCCCCTCCACCTCCTCTCCTTCACTTGCTCCTCTCAGCCCCCCACCGCAAGGCTTCCCCCCTGCCCGCCACTGATTCCTCTCTGCCCTCCCCCGAGTGCCTCCTGCCAGCTGCTGAACAGCTGATTGGCGGCCAGGCCGAACAGCTGTGGCTGGTGGGTGCTGAGCATCCCCTATTTTTTTTCCCATGGGTGCTTGATCCCCAGAGCACCCACGGAGTCAGTGCCTATGTCAAACACTAGGAAGATGAAAGAGAAATGCAAATGTATAATTAGTTTCCAAATGAAGTGCATAGACTTTCTGTTCAAAGAAAAATCCCATACTGATTACACAGAAGACTGAATATTCCAATATGTGGTTCCACATCACACTCACTTATCACTTGATATGCTGCAGTCTATAACAGTTCTTTTGCTAGTGTTAACTATTAGGAAAGGGAGTTGTATTGTAGAGTTCAAAGCTGGAGGACCTTGATTCAGTTGTTCATTTTGCTGATTTCTTTGTACCAAATTTTTGAATGCTATTTGCTGTAGAAAGAAGAAAAAAGAAAAAGGAAAATGATCACTGTCATTCAAATGTAAATGAGGACTCTTCCATGATCTGGGATTTTACAGCTGTTTTAGTAACCAAGTACCAGTATCTCCAGCACCTATCTGGTATCTCGCCAAAGATGGGGAGGCCACAGTCTGAACTCTCTGTGCTGGCTAACAAACACTCCTTTGTGCTGGCCAGGAACAGAAAGGGGTGCATGCTGCACCCTTTAAAGGGAGGCACAGCAGACACACTCCCCTGGCAATCTCTGAAGCTTTGGGAGGGAAGCACGGTACTGAGTACAACGCCCAGGAGACAGAGCATCTCCGCACATTAGGAACTAGGACTTAAAAGGCACAACAGAGGCCTTATCTACTAGCCAGGGTGCATAATTACATATCAGTTTAGAAGGTCAGAAATGTAAAGATAACAAAGTTATACTTAAAGTGGATCAAATGGCACCGTCCACGGCCTGCTCCTGCTTCTTGTCTTTACTCTCTTATCCATCCTCCCCTTTTCTCTCCTCTGTTCACTCTATATCATCCAGTCCTAGCAAATCTGTAGCTTTGAAATCACCCACTTTCATAACTGTTTACAAGTATCCTTCTCTCCACAGTTCATCTTTTGCTGTGGGATTTTGTATATAGTCAAGACTGCAATGACTGGCAATAATCTGGTATATCTGTGAATCTTCTGTAGTCCATGTTTGGCACTACTGATTCCAGTCAATAGGAGCACAAGCATATAAAATGGAAAGAATTGCTAAATTTATTTGAATGGTGAAAGTAGTTAAATTAGAATCAAGCACTGAAGAACTATAATAAAACAGATACATAAACACAGTGAGCAGGGAGTTTTCCTATTACCTTCATCAGTGTGCTTTCTTGGAATTGCTTAGGATGTATACCAGTGTTAGCGAGGTCAGAACTAAGTCCCACTATGTAGAAAAAATATTTTTGCCACTGAGAAAAGCAGAAGTGTCCAAATGCTTAGAATTTCACTGCAGATCTGATTGTGTAAAACACCATCATATTTTGCACCAAGAAAAAAAAATGTTAATTTCTATTACCCTATGACTTTAACTCATGATCTTTACAAATGCTCCATTATGTATAAAGTATTCAAAACCCAGGCATATATCCAAACACTATAAATACAGTATAGGCTTTTAAAAAAATGAAATGCCCTTTCTGCAAACAGAAATGCATCTGAAGTTGCAATATTTCTTCATTCCAGGCCAAATCAGCAGGTTTCAAAAAGCTTTCCTAGGTTACTGCATCAAAATGTGAAATAAGTGCCAGGCCTGGATTCATGAGTCTTTTATAATAAAGGATGCTGACGTTTCAGTTCCCCAGCAACAACTGATTCTCAGCTATGGAATGTACAACTGAACCCATGCAAGTGTGTGTTTAAAATTGCATTTTTCAATAGTAACTTGTCAGAGGGATCAAGTGGGGGCCTGTGGTCCCGTTTGCAAAATGTAATAATGACATGGGGTAGGAGATATTGACAGATAATGACAATTTTGCATCAGGAGGCTGCATCATCCAAGAGGCCCCATGCTAGGATGGCAGGGGTATTTTAGGTCAGGATTCAGGTACATTGCAATATCACTTTCATGAGCACTAAATTAATCTAAAAACATTTATAAAGTGGAGAAAAAAAATACTCTGAACCTTAACAGTTTTTTGTTAGTTACTGTATAAACAAAAATTAAATTTACCTGCAATAGTAGTTCTTGCAGCTGGGCTCTCTTCTGCTTTATTCGTTCTAACCGTCTCTGTTTCTCTATCTTTAGAACATAAATTTAGACACACTATGAAACAATTTTGAAAATATATAAAGTGCCTGGTCTTGTTCTCTGTCTAAAACAAAATAGATTTTTGCAATAAAGGAAGTGAAATTCTGATACACTTACAGAAATTCACACTATATTTGTTTGAGGGAGGTGGTTACAGGGCATGGTACATAAGCTGAAAATCCTTCCCAGCTCCATCCTGCTGCCCTGTAGCTTTCTCCTTTCTCATGTGGACTAATCACATAGTGGGGCATCTCCAAGAACCAGGATTTACACAACTTAATTGTGGACTGCAACCTCAATCTCTGCTTTTATATCACTTTCCCTTCATTAAAAGACCAATACTACCCCACCTAAGTTGTAGCATTTCCCCTCCCTTATTTTTCCCTGTTGGATATATGTCAGAGGAACTTTCTCCAGCACTGGATAGGAAATACTTCATCCCACAAGAATGGAGCCATCACAGTACCACAGTAAAACATTTGCTTTTTTATTCCCACTCATTTGTGATTAAAAGCATCCCATCAACAGTTCTCTCAGTCCCTGTTTACTCAGGACTGAAAGACAAATATCAGGACTGGGCTCAGGACCATCTAGGTTGGCATTTTAGTGTATCATCACTAGGCCAAGAATGACCACCCTTTTTGACTACTAACCTGAAACCTGGAAAGACTAGCAAGAATTCAGTAACCAGTCACAAGAAGAGGTTAAGGGAAAGCAGCTACCATGCTACCAGTTTCTTCCAGCAGCCATGGTGACACAAATGGAAATAAACAAAACCATTTTCAACAGTATCCAGGACAATGGTACTTCAGGACCTACCCATGCTGCCAGAACACCAGAAACTATACTTTAAATTGAGGAGAGTCCTGAGGAAATCCAAAGAGGTGGACAGTCTAATGAAGCTACAGTGCTGGTCTCTATGTGTATTTTTAATGCTCTAGGTCAGGGGGTCTCAAACACGCGGCCCATGGGGTTCTTCCCTGCAGCCCACCAAGCTCCCCGCGTCGTCGTCCCCCTCCCTCAGGGGTGGGTAAACTACGGCCCTGGGCCGGATCCAGCCCCTCAGGACTTTGGATCCGGCCCGCGGATTTGCCAACCCCATGGTCCTGAGGGCCCCGCTTCCCTGCGACCACGGGGAGAGGGGGAACAGAGAACTCTGTGAGCTGTTTTTGCCTGCGGTTACCTCCCCTGAAGCTCCCGTCGGCCGGGAACGGGGAAGCACAGCCAATGGCAGCTTCGGGGGAGGTACCCACAGGTAAGAACAGCTCACTGAGTTCTCTGCTCCCCCTCCTCCTGGGGCCGCAGAGACAGGGCTTAGCTTTGCTTGACCTATAAGACTATCAAAGTCAATAAATGTTAAGAGGTCTAATAATTTATCCTCTCTCTACATACTGATTTTTTCTGTGTTTTCTCTTTAAGGTAACCTTTACACAGAACTACATTTTTGTTTATATATTTAAAATAACTTCAAAATACACTTTTTTTTTTCTTGAATGGAGGGCATTTACAAGTTGGTAAGCTATTGATTTAAGCAAATGTGAAAACACAGCTTTATTTCTTTTCTGTTAAATGACACTGAAAGCAACATTTGAAGGAAATGCCTGGTTTTCACTGTGCTCAGAGGCTTGTGTAACTAAAGTAATAAATAGTAAAAGGACATAAGGTTAATTTGAGTTCTCACACTGTAGACAACAAAATGTCAGAACAATAACATCAAAGTTTATCATTTCATAGCAGTATGATTCACAGCAAAGAATTCACTTAATCATTCACAGAAACTGAGTTTAAGAGATTTGAATTAAGACCAAAGACTTAAAAAATATTCACAACAGACTATTATGGTAAAATGTACTTTAAAATGAGCAGGCGTAGCCTTATTCCCTGGGTTTATCATACCTGTCAGCCTACTGTTTGACACAGTGATTAAAACAGTAAAAGTTTTTCTTTTTCTTTTCTCCCATTGCCCATTTCAATGTCCTCAGAGGTATTATGTGACTAGAATTGGACAAAATAACTTGTTTTTCACTAGGTGTACAAAACCAGATATTTTATTCAAGTAATTGCAAAAATTCACAAATGTGATAGAGACCGAGATGTTGTATTTTCTGCTAGTCAGTACATTTTGGTGTGAACATTGTGACATTTGTCTTGTACAAGATACATGACTATTGTCCACAGGGCCAGTGACATTTTCACAGAGAAAGTTTGGCATCTTTGCAACAAAATGACAGTTTTCTCCTGTTGAAAATGCCCGACAAAAGATTCAACAGGAAGTTTTAAAAATATTTCTTACTTTTCCTGATCAGCAAATATTATTCAGCATCCCTGAATGATATTTCTTTTAAAGAGGTTTTCTATCATCCATATGAATATCTAGATCAACTTACTCCCCAGTAAATTCTTTTTCTAAACCAGGGGTCTCAAACACCCATCCCATGAACCTCCCCAATGTGGCCCCCAGGATTCCAGCAGTTTTGGGGCCGGTTCTTTCCCTTGGCCCCACCTGCCGCCCCTGGGCACTCCCCACCAGGGGCTCCGGCAGCGGAGCGGAGCTGAACAGCGTCTGCCTGCTCACTTCAGTGGCGACCGGCCCATCCCTGCGGCCCCGGGGCAGGGCTGTGCCTCTGCCTCCGCACGCTGCCCCCACCCCGAGCGCCCCTGCGGCCAATGGGAAGCTGCGGGGGCAGTGCCTGGGGGCAGCAGTGCACGGAGGCCCCCCAGCCCTGCCTTGGAGCCCCAGGTAAGTGCTGCACCCCCTACCCCCACCCCCTCTCCACATACTCCCTCCCACCCCCAAACTCCCTCCCAGGGCCTGCACCCCCTCCCCACAACCCCCCAAACTCCCTCCCAGAGCTTGCACCCCCACCCCCTCCCCACCCTCAAACTCCCTTCCAGAGCCTTAGACAGGTGGGGGGTTCAAGGGGGGTGCAAGGGCCCTAAGGTGAATTGAGTTTGAGACCCCTGTTCTAAACAAATCATCATCATTGTGGCAAATACCAAAGGGACTTGGCCTCGTTTGCAAATCAAGCGCCACCTGGCTTGAGTTCTGGCAAATTGCTTGAATTGTTTTAGCTGTATGTTCAGTTTATGGCTACTGGCAATCTTATTGGGCCACCAAAGTTTATGGCACCCACATGAGCACTCGCTGTGTAGCGGCATTCCGTGATACATAGACTTTGGAATTTCTTGGTCTTGCCTTGTAATAATATGTCCATACCAAGAAAGCTGCTGAAACTGAATCAGTGGTGGAGATGGTTGCTGGGTTTGGCTTTGAATATTTTAATTTTTGATCTTGTTCATCCACTTGATATAGAACAGCTGCCGGAGATGACAAGCATAAAAAATGTCAACTCAGAGTTCTTCAGCCTCTATGTTTCACTTCTGTACAACAGGGATAAGCATTAGATCTATAGATCTGCAGCTTCGTAGCATGCTTCAAGTCATGATGTCCCCAGAGGCCATAGAAGGGCCGAAAACATGGTAGCAGATGCTGCTGTTTATTTAAGCATCCACATCTTTTGATCATCCTTCATCATGGTCTATGATGCTGCCCAAATATTTGACAGCTGATATCTTATCTGGACAGGTTTATACTGTGTTGGCTGTAATCTGGTACTGGAGGCTGCTTGGTCAGGCACTAGTTTTATCTGGATGAATAACCAGACCAGTGCACACTAGCTTCTTACTCGACCAGACTGGCCATGAGGTGCAGTGATTCACTAAACTGAGCCAACAAGAGAATGTCACCAGCGTATTTGAGATCTCAAAACAGAATAATGTTCAGCTCAACACCACCGATAGCTGCCTCCTCAAGCTTTATTCATCAACCAATCGATGCCAACATTGAACAATGGATGATGACAGAACTCAGCTTTACCAAACTCCCGTGGAGATAGGAAACCATGCTGCGTACCTGCCATTGACTTGAACACAGCTCCTGTTCCATTATAGAGTTCTTTTACCAATGACCAGTCTTCCCAGAGATGTTTAGTTGCCTCATCAGGTCCCACGAACTTGCTCAAAGCACTGAGTGAATGGCCTGATGGAAGTCAATGCAAAAATGCTGTGCACAGTTTATCATATTCAGCCATTTTCTTAAAAGGCTGTCTAAAGTTAAATATCTGGTCAACAATGGAATGACCAGATCTAAACCCACACTCAGTATCCCAGCCTATGCCATGAAGTGCATCATTGATTTGAGATATTAACACAGAAGCAAAGACTTTCCCTGAGACCAACAGCTTAATACTTCTTTAGTTGCTACATTCAGCTTCATTGCCCTTTTTGAACAAAGCAGAATAACACCATTCTTCCATTCATCAGGTATGATAGTAGAGTTCCAGATGACCTGGAAGAGCCTGTACAGTGATGTTACAAACCCCTGGTGCGTTCTCAGACTTCAATTTATGGACTGTGATTTGAATCTCTTCTTGGATGAAGGACGGTAGTTCTACTGGAACTTCCTGTTCATCTTCAAATGGAAGAGGGACAGCAGGCAGCAGACAATTGAGGAGCATTGTGAAATGATCTTCCCATTGATCAGATCTTCCCAACTGATCCTTCAGACTCTGGCTGATGCTGTCATCCCAATTTTTTACTAGGCAAGCTGATGCCACCTTCCCCTGCAAACATTGCAAAGTTGAATAGAAGATGTGGAAATTGTGCCTGGTGGCAGTGTGTTCTAAATTACCTGCCTGAATCTACTTCCAGGATTCTGTATCTTTCTTACACTTGATGAAGTTCCGATGTGAAACCCATCCAGCCTTTCCTTTTACTCTCGACGAACGTGTCTTTGAAGTCTCAAATTGTAGCCTCAATTTTTTTCTTAGCAGTTTTTCTTAGCACCAAATTTTCCAGTTGCAGTGAGCGTCTCCTCACTGATCCATGGAAGACATCAGAGCACTGCTTTCAAACATGCCATTTTTCTGGGGTCAGTAACCAAAGCATTGACACAAATTGCCCATATTACACTTATGACTGATTCAGACTGCTATTAACCTAGAGCCTAATGCCCTGTGTGATGGGTGTATCTGGCCTTTGCAGCTCCCTACAGGAGGCCTCACAGTCCTACTACACTCCATGTCAGGAAACAATGATGTAGGAGGAATGGAGCAGTGACGCTGAGTCCTCTAGGCCTGCCTAGAAAGTCCTGTCTGGAGCAGCCATCTTGGAGATTAGAGAGACCTGGCCCTCCAAGAGCTAGAAGGACTAGCAACAGTTATCTGAGCTCAGCAGGCTCAGATAAAAGGAGCTGTAGTGCCCTAGCAGGGCGGCCTCTGGCTGGGCCCAGAGGAGCAGGGATGGGTATTCCTCTCTGCCCAAAGGAGCCTGTGGATTATCCAGGGTTTATCTCTGCCACATTTGCATATCTGGGTTTGCAGGGAGAGAGGGACTTGAGAACATTGTCCTTGAGCTAAGGGTTAAGATAAGATGGGCCAGGTGGGAGGAAGCCCAAGGAAGTAGCAGCAAAAATTTGAGTACTACAGTGGTTGCTGTTCACAGGGGTGCCTGCCTGGAACCCAGAGTAATGGGTGTGCCCTGGTTCCCTCACTGGCAAAGTTGTGTAAACTCTGAGAAAGGGAGGACAAGCGTAACCTAAGACCAAAGAAGGGGAGAAGGCTTGTTTGGAAGCCCAAGTGAAGGGCTGAATTTAAAGGTCCAAGAGCCAGAGCTGAAGACCCTGGTGAGGACAGATACACTGCTTATTTGTTGGACTCTTTGCTATCCCGGAAAGGGTTAATTGTTGACTGCGTGACAGAAGACTGGCAGAGGCAGACAGATGTCCTGTAGGGGGTGCCAGGAACTGGAAAAGGATTGCAATACTGCACCTGCTGCTTGGAGACACTCAAGGGGTGAATACCCTTTTACACCCTGCATGACTTGATTGATATTTATTTTTGTCAGGAAAACAGGATTTTTGGATTGGTATAAAGTATATTGTAGGTATATTTAGAAAATACACAGAAACATTTCACTGAGGATTTAAATCAGGACTGGCTCTAGGCACCAGCAAAGCAAGCACGTGCTTGAGGCGACATAATTCCAGGGGCGGCATTCCGGCTACCCCCCACTCCCTCTTTTTTTTTTTTTTGCTTGGGCAGTTGTGCTCTTGGAGCGGCAAACTTTTTGCTTAGGACAGCAAAAAAACTAGAGCCGGCCCTGATTTAAATATCAAATGTTGCTTTTATTTACCTAATAAGCAGCAATCAGATTTTTTTTAAAGTTCATATTTTAAAACATTTATTATGCAAATATAAATACACACACTCTTTCCAAAGAGACACCATTACCACAGGACATCATCTGCAACTGAAGGGATTTCCCCTCCCCTCCACTTACCTCTAGGTTTTGACATTCTTGAGCTGAGTTTGTAGGAAGGCCAATCCATTTGATTTCCTTTTTCTCTTTTGAAATGATGTTCATTGCCATCAGCACATTGAGGGCATCATAAACTCTCCGCCTAATATTCTTCTGATCATAAGCCTGCTAAAAAAAAAATAGCACTGCAGTATTAATTAGGTCAAGACTACTGCAAAAGCTAAAAGTTAAGATGACGCTTGAAATTTCCCTTTATAGGTTTGCAAGTAATAAGGATGACAATATATGAATAAAAGTAAATGGCAATTGAAGTCAATATGGCACTAAAACATGTGCTTTAATTTATGGTATTGCTTTGAATAAAACACTAAGGTGTTTGCATGAAAGCTGGGAGATCACTCAGAAACAGTGAGGTAAAACTTAATACAATAGAATATACACCGTCTGCTTCTTGATGTTGCATATTAAAAAAATATTGTTAGGCTTAATCTTGTCCCCCTTACATGCTTAAGCCAATATTATAGAATACATCATTAAAAAAAAACATTTAAAACAAAAATCACTTAAAACAGAAGCAGATTGTTCTCAAAGCATTGTAAGTACATAGAGTATTTCTGATACAAAAGGAGAATGTATCAGCATTGTAAAAGATTCCAGAGTAGGAGCTGGATGAGTATCCTTACAATTACAGCTATACATATTTTAAAAACAAATAACTGCCTTTAAAAAATCTGTTGTAATGAAACCAATTTTTAAATATGTATCACAACGTGTTTATGGAGAAGAGTGTTTTTTACCATTTGGACTTTCTAACTGCTGAGTTAAGAGAATGGACAATATTTTTGTTTAGCTTAGGTTGCTTTTTTCTCTTCATATGTATAGGCTAAAATTAATACTTCAAACCCTCATAAAGGACCTCCTCTAGCCTTGCCAAACTAATTATTATTCTCTGTTAACCAGAAAATAAAATAATCCCAAATTATGTTTTTATCCTGGCAATTAATTTACTGCCTGAATTGCTTAAACTCCTATATATTAATAACAACCTCAATCAAAATATGATTATATCCTATACACCATTATTTCTACAGAAATTGATTTTTCTAATTGTGTTTCCATCATGATAAAAATGATTAATCTGATGTAATAACTTGTGCAGTTTTGTGTACACATAATTAAGACTTGGTCAGCCTAGTTATTACAAATTGTGTATTTGAGACAGGTGTCCTCCATTTCAGCTGCATTTGAGACAGGTGTACTCCATCTCAGACTCTCAGTTACTTGGGGTGGAGTGTGAGCAGAATATTTTAAAAGCCAGTATTAAGGCAGCCTGTTGTCTGTGTATTTTGTTGTATTTTAAAGGGTATTCAGTGGTATTAATTCTATATTTAAAATGGAACCTATTTTATATACTGCATGTTGATATTTTTGGGAATGTTCTAGGCCTAGATCTATAGCTCTGAGACACATTTGTTTGAAAGCGACAGTGGAACATGACAAGTCAAGGCAGAAACAAGCATAGAATTGTAAGAGAACTGTGACAGGATATGACAGTATAGCTGTAAAATAAAAAAATTGACATCACATCTACTTACCGAATCTGTAGCCAAGTGGCTATTAGAATTTGTGAATTCTGATACCAGTTCATCAGCTACTTCATTGTAGGACGTTGTTCCTTTACGCTGGACTTTTTCACATACTTTCATTGAAAAATGCCTCAGACCCTTCCCATTTTTATCTCCTTTTTTGCTTCTTTTACTATGGAAGGAAAATAAGTCGTTTTGAGATAATGACTTTTTGTAAGTTCTTCTGGTTAGGAAGCAAAATGTCAAGCTTGTTAACAGGCTTTGCATAGTGAGATGGCTGGTGTCCGACATTAGGCATCACATTTTTATGAAGGTTACAATAGCCAGGAAAGGCATTTTTATAATTTTGAACTGTGAAAAGATAAACGATGACATAAAGAGGGATGTGATAACCTTCAAGGATTTCAGGTCCCTTACACTCAAAGTAGCACTGAAATTAACAGGAATTCTGGGTATACAGGAAACACAGAATTAGGCCCAAATATGAACCAAATAATATATATTAAACCTCTTCAGACCTAATCCCACAGTTCTCATGTGGACAATGAGCATCAAATAAGCCCACCAAAAGTTGTGAAAATGGTCATTTTGTGTGTGTGTGTTGAGAGCACAGAGCCACTGTCTAGGCCCAGCCCCACTTTTACCATTGAGAAGCCCTTTCTGCTACAGCCTTTTTTATATTAACATGGGATAGTGTTTCGTTCTCCAAAGGCAATGTCTAACACTACTAATAAACACTTGACAGTGAGAAAGTATTAGTTAAAAAGAGTACAGATTTCTGACACAGTACATAGATTTTCCATTTTAAATCTTCACAATAAGTTTCACATTTGACTGAGCTGACTAAATCAGAGATAACCCATCTTCAGCAGTTGCTAGGTGCCTGACTAAAGCATTCAGCTATCAACAAAAATTAGTTACAAATTTCTTGCCAGAGTAGCTAAACAAGTAAATGGATGCAGGCAGTAAAATGTCACCAAGAATAAGCAAGTTATGGGCCCAATCTAGCATCCAAATAAGTTAATAGAAGATTTATCATTTACTTCAATGAATGTTGGTTTAGGCCTTATGTGCAGTATACAAGATCAATCTGATTGGCCCACAGAATGTGATTTCAAAAGACGTAGATCTATTAAGAAACAGTTTTAATATGAATTTTTGCAAAAGGTCAACACAATCTCCCCCCCCCGCAACCCCAAGAACATCAAAATTACTAGAATAGTAGGAGTGGCAACCGGAGAAGGAAACTTGCTCTATTGCAAAATAATTTGTCTACAGATTCCTTCTAAATTAACATCAGTAAAAGATTAGTCATTAGCAAGAAGATTTTACTGGCAGACCTAGCTTTTACTGGGTCTAACTATAATGGAAACTCCATGCCTTGTATTTATTGAAAGCATTATCTCGGTAAAGAATTAATTAAAGTTTCCAAGTGGTACAATAGTTTTTTTCTTTTATTCAAACGTGCAGGGTATCTGAGGAAGGGCAAACTTCCTATACAGAACTAAATGGAAACCAATCTTAAAAACAATTAAATTTTTAGAGCTCTCCAGACCTGTGATATAACGCAATTGTTGGGTCTGATCCTGCACTCCTGCAAAATTCCCATATTATGAATTACTTAAATGGGAAAAAAATGGTTGTTGTTTAACAGGGTAAATAGCATTTTTGTTTTATATTATGGGCCAGTTTCTAGCTGCTCTCTTGTTTGTGATGGATTGCACCAATAGCAATTTTTCCTCCCATGCATATCCTTGCAGGGTGCAGACAGATTCATGGTGATTACATCCCCTGAGAGCAAGGTGTGAAGGGGGTCGGGATTATACCAAAGAAGAATGGCTGAGCATAGAGGGAAATTTATACTTTATCAGGAAATACAGGGCCAGTACAGGGGCAAGCATATGCTCACTTTTTTAAAGGGTGGAATAGTTGCAACTCTTGTGCATGCTCCCCAAGAAACCTGATAACCTGCTGGCCAGGAGCTGCAAAAACCAACGTATCACTGTATTTGCAGCAGCAAAACAAAAAGCAGCAGCAGCAGGTTCTTGATAAAAGTAAAAAGTAGGTCATAGAAATAAAGCACTTCATTCTGGAACTAAAATGTTAACTTTCTAGAGAAGCGACTTGTTAAAAGACTTCCATCTAGATCCCAGTGACTACTATATAATGTTAATATTTTGACATATCAGGACACTTAGTTGCAAAAAGATTTATTTGTAATTCTTCTTGGTCTCCAAACGAGTTTCACAACATTTTGTCTAAGAAATAGCATGAACAAAAGAGAGCATTACTTGGTGCTCACTCATCAAGTCCTAATGTGCCTAGAAGCCAGTAAGGAGATAAACTTATGTTTTATTGTGCTTAAAAACGGACATAATTAATCATTATACCTTTAAAACAAAAAGGCTCAGCAATCAGTATTTCACAATAAAGCACATATTCAGTTTTATCAGAGATCTGTCAGTGCTTTGATGCCAGTGAGTTTAACTCTGATTACTGCCAGCAGTGGAGTCAATACTGGGGAACTATTGGCTATTGATGTCCATCCAGGGTTCATATATCTGCTGCATGTGAGATTCTAATGCCCCAGAGAATTCTATTTGAATAATAACATACAAATTAAGCTGTTTCTATTCCCTTCCCTCTCCCAACAGAAGATCAAGATTTTATGTTATGGTAATGAACCCAATGTAAACAAGATCAGATGCATTTACCATCCATAAACTATGTATTTCAAGATATATGTTCAATGGACAATTTTTTCCACTGTTAAAAGGATGCTTTCAATTTAAACATTTTGCAAACAAACACTTCTTGATCTGTATTAACTTTTTAGATTATTAGAAGCAAAAATTAAAAAAAATCCAATTTATTTGTCGCTCGTTATCTTCTTAGTTTACTTTTTGCATTTCTTATAGATTGGACAATGATAATCTCTATGAGGCCTGTTTCACTTCCAGGTTTTAGTGGTATAATGTCTGGGATTCAAACACTGCAGGGGAGTGTTTGTTTGTTTTGTTTTAAAGAAGTGTTTTCACTGGATTTTTTTAAATTGTGGAAACATTTTCTATTGGCTTTATAGAAGTGTGTTTTATATAAAATTGAAAGTAGGGGGAATCAAGGGCTTGCCCAAGCAGTTTGGGAAGAATACCACACTAGAATCTCACAAATCACCACAATATATGAGAAACTAGCAATGGCTCCACAAAATATGCAGCTACTAAGAAGTATAATGTCAGAATAAACCCTAAGGAGAACCATGTGGAATTATAGGAGGGTACCAATCAACAGTTATCTAAAATAGTAAAATAGAACAGGGGTGGGCAAACTACAGCCCGCAGGCCACATCCGGCCTGTCAGACCTTTTAGTCTGGCCCTCAGCTCCTGCCAGGGAATGGGGTAGGGGGTTTGCCCTGCTCCGGCGCTCCAGCCAGGGAGTGGGGTCGGGGATTTACCCTGCTACATGCGGCTCCCAGGAAGCAGCCGGCATGACCCCCCTCTGGCTCCTATGTAGTACACGAAAGCATGGCCAGGCAGCTCTGCGCGCTGCCCAGTCCACAGGTACCACCCCCCACAGCTCTCATTGGCCATGGTTCCCGCCTGGCTGCACCTTGGAGCCGGAGAGGGGGGACATGCTTCCAGGAGCTGCTTGTGGTAAGCACTGCCCGGAGCCTGCACCCCTGAGCCCCCCCCCATACCACAGCCCTGATCCCCCTCCTGCCCTCCGAACCCCTTGATCCCAGCCCAGAGCCCCCTCTTGTACCCCAAGCCCCTCATCCCCAGCCCCACCCCAGAATCCGCACCCCCAGCCAGAGCCTTCACCACCCCCCTCCCCTCCCGTGCCCCAACCCCCTGCCCCAGCCTTGATCCCACTCTCTGAACCCCTCGGTCACAGCCCAGAGCATCCTCCTGCACCTCAAACCCCTCATCCCCAGCCCCACCCCAGAGCCCGCACCTCCAGCCGGAGCCCTCATGCTCTGCCTCAGTGTTATATAATATTGTTTGGGTGAACTACCATCAGTTCCTCCTCTATCACAGAGCTCGTTGATAAGAACTCCAAAGCAGAAGCAGGAGGGCAAATAGTGGAGCATGCACAGGGACATACATCTCGAAGAACCACAGATACTGCACAAGGTGAGTAACCCTTTCTTCTTCTTCTTTGAGTAGTGTACCTATGGTGAGTCTACAGCAGTATGCCTAATGGAGGGGTGGGGCTTCGGGAGTCAAATCTAATATTGAAGATACTACAGTAGAGCCAAATATGGCATCAGATGCTGACTCGTGACTGTATAATGTTAAGCAAATATATGAGCAGATGTCCAAGTCACTGCTCTGCATATTTCTGTGATCAGAATGTTCTTAAGGAAGGCTATCGAAGTGGACAGATATCTTGTGGAACTCCAGAAGGAGGTTGAAGGTCATGAGAGCAATGGCAATAGGTAATGCAGTCCAGTATCCATCTAGAGAGTCTTTGTTTAGAGATTGGGGCTCCCTTAGATCTGTCTGCAATGGAAAAGAATAAGTCTGGGAGATTTTTTGAGAGGTTTCGTCCTATCCAAATAGAAGGCTAAAGATCTCCTGACCTCAAACGTGTGTAATGTTGCCTCCCTTTTGTCCTGGTGTGGTTTGGGAAAGAAGGCTGGGAAGTGAATATGCTGAATTATGTGGAAGTCTTTTTGGTAGGAATTTAGGGTGTGGTCTTAATGCAACCTTGTCTTTGAAAATGAGGGGTGGGGGCATGCCATTAGTGCCCCTATCTCTCCCACTGTCTGAGCAGACATGATGGCCACTAGGAACGGGTTTCCTAGCGAGATGTAGAAGAGAGCAAGTGGCCATAGGTTCAAAGGGAGACCTTGTAAGGCACTTGAGGACAATGTTGAGATCCCATGCTGGTGTAGGACATCTGATTTGTGGGAAGAGGTTACCCATACCCTTGAGATACCTTTTTGTTGTAGAATAAACGAATAGAGAATAACCATCTATCTTATGATGGAAGGCGGTGAGGGCTGTGAGATGTACCTTTATGTAGTTTAGAAATAATACTGACTTTTTTAGTTCTAGGTCCTAGAATCTAGGATGTAGGCTAGCACAAGTGGTAGTGGAGAGGATGTAGAGGTAACGTGTCCTGAGTCACACCAGAGTTGGAATCTCTTCCACTTTTGAATGAATGTGTGATGAGTAGTTAGTTTTCTGCTATGTAACATCACCTCCTTTACATCCTCAGAGCAGTTCATTTCTAAACTTTGGAACACTGAGGAGCCATTGAGGTGGAGAACCTGAAGATTGGGGTGGAAGATCAGTCCCGCATCTTGAGAGAGGAAGTGAGAAATGGGCTGGAGAGTGTTTGGCAGGCAAATTGCCATTTGAGTAAGGTATGGAAACATGTCTGTTTTGGCCACGTTGGAACTATAAGAATAACCCTGTCCCTTTCTTTTCTTATTTTGCTTCTACTGCATCTAGGTAGGCCCCTATGAATTCCAGATGTTGTATTGGAGTTAAAGTGGATTTTTGGACATTTAGTTGTAGTCCCAGCTGTAGGAATAGATTCATAGTCTTTTGTGTGACTTTCTCAGTGTTGTCAAAGGAACGTACTTTGAGCAGCCAATCATCTAGATATGGGAATATCATAATTCCTAGTTTGTGAAGGTATGCTGCTACAACAGAAAGGACCTTCTGCACCCAGAGTGTTCTCGATGACAGACTGCATGGGAGCACTTTGTATTGAAAATAGTCTTGATCCAGAGAGACTCCTAGAAACTTCCTGTGTGATGACTGGATTGTGATATGAAAGTAAGCCTCTTGTAGGTCAAGGGCAGGGAACTACTCCCCTTAGTCCAGAGATGGGACTACTGCTGCCAAAGTAACCATCTTGAAGTGTTGTATCTTTACGAATCTCTTGAGTGACCTTAGATCCAGAACGGGTCTCCAACTGCTGTTCTTTTTAGGTATCAGGAAGTATTTGGAATAAAAACCGTTCCCTCAGTGTTGACTGGGAACTGGTTCTATAACACCTAGGTTCAGAAGATAGTTTGTTTCCTGAAATAAAAGGTGCTCATGAAAAGGATCCCTGAAGAGGGATGAGGAGGGAGGGTGGGTAAAGTAGATTGAATATCTCGTGGAGATGATCTCCAATATCTGCGTCTCTGTGATTATACATTCCCAGTTTTGACGAAAAAAGAGTAAGGTGGTCGCCAAAGAGGTGGAGATGTTTGGGTTGTTGCAGCAAATAAAAGCGTGTGTGGGGTAAACTCGGGGTCTCGATCAATACATCAAAATTAGTTTTTAGATGTAGACGGTTATGATGCTGAAGATTGTGGGTAGTGATCTTCGCTTTTATCGTCATCCTCTTTTCCGTTGGGGTTCATAATGTTTCTGGGGAGGAGGAAACTGAGCCAGCTGGGATCTCTGTGCCTGCCAACTGTGACGTAGTCATCTCCTTTTTTTTTTTTTTTTTTGTAGATGTGTAAATTCCCCAGGAACGGAACGTGGCTCTGGAATCTTTTAATGTTTGGTGGGATTCTTCTGTTCTGTCTCCAAATAACTTGGATCCTTCAAAGGGAAAGTCTTCCACAGTGGATTGTACCTCCTTTGGAAAGCAGGAAAGGTGAAACCATTAAGCTTTCTGCATGACAACTGCAGTTGAGCTGGAGTGAGCAGCTGTACCAGCAATGTCCAGAGAGGCCTGCAACTATGTCCTTGCAAGGAGCTGACCCTCAGCAATGATTGCCTAAAACTGTTCTCTTTGATCAGTTGGGAGATATTCAATGAAGCCGTTTAACTTAGAGTAGTTGACATGATTGTATTTTGCCATAAGGGCTTGGTAATTAGCAATCCTAAATTGTGGGGTCACTGATTAATATGATTTCCTTCCAAATAAATCCAGTCATTTCCAGTTCTTGTTGTCAGGTGCCGATTTAGCGTGCTGCTGTCTGCCATGTTCATGTACAGCATCGACAAGGGAATTCAGGGATGGGCAAAAAAATAAAAAGTCCATGTCCTTAGAGGGAACGTAATATTTTTTGTCTGCTCTTTTGTATGTGGGACATATTTTGGCTGGTGTCTGCCATATAGTTTTCACTGGGTTGAGCAAGGCTTCATTGACAGGGAGCGCAATAAGACCTGATGAAGAAGTATGTAGGATGTCCAGCAGCTTATGTTGTGACTTCTTCGGGCTAAATTTGTACTGAGTTCGCTACTGTCTTAATGAGATCTTGTAACTATTTGAAGTCATCTGGAAGGGTTGGTGGGGAAGGCATGACATCTTCATCAGGAGAGGACGAAGAGATGTTGGTCACAGGAATAACCTCGTCTACTCTCACTTCCTGTTCCTCAAAGATCTCCTCTTGAGGATCAGGAGGTCTGGATAGAGAAGCTGAAGGAGATTGTCTTCCTCTATCCTTTTGGGTGACACTAGATACCCTTGAGAATTGGTGTTTATAGGCTGCCTGTGGGTCTCAGTAGGGCCAGTGAGGTGGTGCTAAGTGCATGGGTGGGGACACCCAAGGGGGTCCATACCAACTGGGTGAGCTGTGCCTCCCACGGCAGTAAACTGGGGTTGTAGCGATTTCTGGGTGGCTGGCTTCTTGGTATTGTAATGGGAAGCCTTCCACAGACACTGAATAAAAATCATCATCATCCTCTTCATCATCGCTTGACAGAGGTGAAGCGGTCATGGATGCTGGGGGAGACTGCCTCAGTACTGCACATAAGTCAGGGGACTGAGATATGGCTAGTATTGAGATCATGTCAGTGCTGAGTAGAGGTGAGTCAGGCATCTCTGAGATTAGTAAGTCTTCAGAGAAATCTTTTGAGCGATGAGGTAAGCTGAGCAGCAGAAGCTGATGTAGACGGAGCCGATGGTACCAAGAGTCTTCTGCACTCCAGTGAATAGCCGGTAGGTGTTGTTCTGGTCCCCTGTGGAGCCGAAGTACTTGGTACAGAGGCCTGAGAGGACTCCGTGGTGCCACTTTGGAGGAGCTATATTGCTCTATACCACTCCTTTCCCCAATGGTACCGATCTTCCCGAGTCTGTGCCCTTAGAGTCTTTAGATTTATTGGTGGTATGGTACCTGAGGATCCTGCAGCCTCGTGGGTATCCAATCATAGGTCGATCGGTACTGAAGTGGTTTTTCTGGTCTGGGATCTCTCTCTCTTTTCTCAGGGGACTTTAGCCCACTTCTTTGAGAGGAATCCAAAGATTTCCTCTTTGAAGTCACCAGAGAGCGCTGAGCCGAGGACACTGATAGAACTGACTTAGTCAAAGACCACTGTACAGGAGAGGTCCCAGGGCTGGGGTCAGAGGTTGGTCTGAGTGAACTTTCCATCATGAGGCATCTCAATTATAGTTCACGGGTCTTCCTAGCCCTTCATTTTAGTTTCACACAAAACATGCACTTTTGAGGCACGTGTGACTCTCCGAGGCAGCGAATGCAGCAGGAATGTTCATCACTGACTGGAATGGCTTCTCGACGGGAGAGAGAATATTTAAACATGGGGAAGATGGGCTATCTTTTCCAGGGTTCACTTCCCGAGAGAGAAGAGACAAAGAAGAACTAACTAAGGACAGGGAGTTAGATATTCTAATAACAAAATAAATAGGAGAAGAAAAAAAAGAAAAGAAGCAGAGTATTAACACTAATGAAAACTCTAGGAACTACACTATTAACTGCAAATCAAAAGTAAGATATAGATAATGAACTCTGAAATCAGACTCTGATAAGGCTCTGTCTGAGGCGAAAGGCGTTTGAGAAGGAACTCAGGGTGGCTCGCCTGCACTGAGGCAGAGCACAAGATGGGAAGAGTGCATGTGTGGGCCGAACGGACACTGCTACCTAAAATCTCTGGTTTGAGGTGCAAGGACATGAATACAACTAGAGTGGGGCACCCATATGGACAATACTTGAAGAAGAAAAATAATTTAACACCTGTTTCAGAGTAGCAGCCGTGTTAGTCTGTATTCGCAAAAAGCAAAGGAGTACTTGTGGCACCTTAGAGACTAACAAATTTATTTGAGCATAAGCTTTCGTGAGCTACAGCTCACTTCATGTGTTTGTTACATAGAAAACCAGAACCATTCCACTTCTGGGAAAGAGTTTCATTTATTTTTAACGGTTTTCTTTTTTGTCTCTATGATTACTGCAGACATACTATTATAACTAAAGTAGTTTAGCTAGGGAATAAGAGTAATGGAAAACCACTGTAAGTGGGAACTTGTTATCTCTCCCTCTCAAATTGGAACTGAAAGCAAATCTGGTTACAAATATAGAGACAGAACACACATTCAGCAATACTCACCTTTCTGAAAAATCTGATTCTATAAATTCCCGAGCCCGTTTTCTGTCCCTAGGGAGAAGGAAACATTTTTTTTTTTTTAAATTTAACATCTTTCTTTTATGCAGGGCCAAGAAAATATATACATTTTGTATATAGGAATATCAACAGCCTTGTACTTGAGCATTTAAAAAAACATTCATTTTTAAGTACAGTTAAATGTACTATGCAAACTATAATGAGAGAAAAAATAATGCAAATATCACCTGACGGAATTTAAGTGAGAAATGGTTAAAATTTTGGACCCAGCATGGTACAGAGAACAGAATATCATAGTGGGAGTGAGGAAACATAGGTTCTATTCCCAGGTTTGCCACTGATTTGCTGCTCAGGCAAGTCACTTGGGCTGGCATTATTCAATGTGCCTAAGGGAGCTGGACAACCAATCCCATTGAAATTCAATGGATTTGAGTTGCTAAGTCTCTTAGACTCCTTTGAAAATCCCAGTCTTAAATTCTGTGCCTTGGTTTTTCCCATCTTAAGGAGATGATAAAGGCTACCTTTATAAAGTACTCTGAGATCTACAGATGAAAAGATGAAAACATTATTAAGTATTAAGATTTCATGATGGATAATGTATTCACATATCATCCAACTTATATCTTTGTTATATAACAAGGTCCTACAATTTAAGAAAGAACAGATACTTACCCTATACTAACTGTACATATACTCAATCAGTGTGTATTCTACTATAGGTGCGCATGCATGCACAAATGGATTTATTTAACACTAGAATCTAGTGGGGTTGTGCATGCACCAGGTTCCTTCTTGTGATTGAGGATGAAGGGTGGGGTTGTTGTGACCCTTACTTAGTTCCTTCACAATTTGAACGCTGTGGTAGTAGAGGACTCTGAAAGTAGGGATGAGGGTGGTTTGTGGGACCCATATGGACCACATTAACTTGAAGAATCATAGTTACTGCGGGCTAAGTAACCCTTCTCCCTTCTTTGAGTACGTGTCTAGTGTGGATCCCACACTCTAAATGACTGGCAAGCTGGATGGTGGTATGTATAGCAGCTGCATCAGTCAGAGATTGAAGCACCGCTTCCCCCAAATTTGGCATCTGCTCTGGCAGCTAAGTCCAATGCATAATGCTTGTCAAGATTGAGTGGATTACTCCATGTTGCTACCTTGCAGATCTTGAAAACTGGAACATTCCTGAAGCAGGCAGAGGATGCTGCTTGAGCCTTGGTGGAATGAGTTTTGATGTTCAGTGGGAAAGGTACACCAGCCAACTGGTAACACAATGAGATACAGCATGTTATCCACCCAGATATCCTTTGTGATGATATGGCCTGGACTTTGGAGTGGCCACAACAACCAGAAATAAACAGGGAAACAACCTGAACTATTTGGTTTTGTCAACATAGTAAGGCAGGCTCTGGAAACGTTCTATGTGTGTAACTTCCTCTCCAGGTAACAATGGGGTTTTGGGAATATATCTTTGGGAATATATTCCAAAGACTGGAAGATTGCTTGATTCAGATGTAATTTTCAGACTAGCTGGGTGATGTATTTACGGATAAAGTGATGCTAAAAACTTTACCCTATAAAACATCGGGGAGGGAGGGTCAGTCACAAGCACCTTGGAGCTTGCACACTCTCTTGGCTGAAGTGATTAAAACTAGGAAGACAGTCTTCAGAATGAGATGACAACCAGCATTCTGAAAGGGACTTAAAAGGAGACCCCATGAGTCTTGAGAGGATAGTACTAAGGTTGCAGACAGGTTCTCTGACCAGGCCCTGAGACACTTTGACATTATCAAGTGAGAGATAACTGAATAAGACTGTACAGGTGGATAGCAAATAGAAATTGCTGCAAAGTGGATTTAATAGAGCTGAATTAAAGGCTGGAGTGTTGTAAATGCACCAACTAGTTGAGGCTCTGTAGTACTGAAGCCTAGTCGGACTGCTCAAATTAAGAAATTTTTCCATTTTGACAAAAAGTCCTTCTGGTGGACATCTTCCTGATCTGTATCAGGATCTTTTGGACTTTTCTAGAGCAGTCCCTGTCTTTATCCAGCCAATATCCAAGCCTGTCAGGTGCAGTGACTTAAGATCAGAATGGAGTATCTGACTGTGCTTTTGTGAAAGCAGGCCCTGGAATTCTGGGAGCTGAATCAGAAGCTGAATGGACCGCTGCAGAAGGTTTGCCAGCCAAAACTGCTTTGGTCAGTATGAAGCTATGCGAATGATCACAGCTGTCTCTTGATTTTGGAAATCACTTTGGGGATCAGTGGAACTGGTGGAAAGGGGGGGCTGAATACCACTACAGAAGACACACATCAGCCAAGGAGCCTCGGTTCCTGCCCCCTCTGGAATGCTTGATGTTATCCTTGGTGGCAAACAGTTTTATCATGAGAACCCCCCCATTTATGATTAATCTCCACAGGGACCTCTTTTGATTGGACAGAGATTGTCTGCTCAGGAAGGCTGCCAGGTCATAGTTAATTTCCATAAGTGAAGAGCCATCAGGGTTATCCTGTGTTGGTGGCACCCTGTCCAGGGCTTGATGGACTCCAGACAGAGAGGAGACAAGCATGCGCCTCCTTGCTTGTTGATGAAGTGCATTACAGATGTGTTGTCTGTCTGGATCTTCACTGATAGGAAGGCCAGGCAGGCTAGCCTGAGGTGCCGAGCTCCAGGACACTGATGTGGAACCCCGTGTTCTGAGTGATAGCTATTGCAACAGGAATTTGTCTTCAAAAAGGTATACTTTCACTGATCTAGGAGTCAAGGCTCCTATGAACTTTATCATATGTGATGAGTTAAGAGAGAATTTTGTGTAGTAAGCACCTTAGTTCAGAGAACAGGAATAGCACGTATTCTAAGCTTGCCACCATCTCCTTTTAGAAACTGCCCTTAGTCAGCCAATCATTGAGGTAAGGGTAAATGGGAATGCACTTTCTTCTGAGATGGGTCACTGCTACTTCTAGGCACTTTGTAAAAACTCTTGGTGCCACAGAGAGCCTGAAAGGCAGTACCTTACACTGGTAATGATTGGTTCTCACTGTGAATCACATGTACTTCATGTACACCAGATGGATAGCTGTGGGTCTCTCATTCCCTGTGCTGCTCCTGGTCTGGTTGAGGACTCAGATGCTGTATCCTTCAAAGAGTGATGTTTTGTGTCATCCCTCTGAGACCTCCCTTCACATTTGATGCTGTCTTTGGATTCCATCTGTCTCTATAAGTGAGTGCTGTCTTTACGTAAAGGCATGGTTGCCAGTTTTGATGCCTGTGTCAGAGAGACCAGTGCAGGTGCCAGAGCAGTTAATGACGAGACTGTCATTACTGAGGCCTTCAGTTGAAGACTTCACTGATGTTGAAGTAATCAGTGTTGAAGTCACTGGTGCCAGTTATCGTGGTGCTCTCTTTATCTTCTCTCCAGTGCTTGATCCTGGGTTATGATTTGGGCTCAAGGGAGCTCTGGCCAATGCTGGCTCATTTGGCCTTGCTCTAATAGTGATCTTCATTTCTGGGTCCAAAGTTACCATCATCGATTGCTCTAGCAGATATAGCTTGAGCTGGGTGTCCCTGGAGGAAAAGGACTTACACACAGAGCACCTGTCTGGGATACGGCATTCCCCTAGGCAAAAGAGGCATTGTGTCCATCCTTGGTGATCAGTCACTCACAGGAGGGCAGGGTTTAAACACTTAAAATTTGGAGTTTGCCACAAGGTGTGGTGGTTAGCATGAAGTGCCTCATCCTGGAGTACAGGAGGATCCCCAGTAACTTTTCTTTTCTCTCTCTCTCTCTGTCAAAATAAATATTTCTTTACAAATTTGATGACATAAATGGTTTTAAAGTCTCTAAGAAGAGTAGTGTGTTGGCCAGGTGGAAGGTTCCTTCTCACTGCCATGGGTGGTAAGAGGGAATTGAGAGAGGGTCAGAGCCACTCTACCTTTAATCCCTTGTGTAGGAGCATGAGGAGGCACAGGGTGCACGTGTAGTCCTGAAAGACTCTGTTATTCAAAAGAATCTGATCTCGCATGCATGAGGCACGTGTACACCTAGTGTAAGATTCAGACATAGAACTTTAGAATCTTGATCAGAACATCAACAGATTAGGAGTAATCATTTAGACCAAGAGACTTTTGCAAGTCACAGAAGTCTGGCTGTCCTTCAGTGCTAGATGTAGAAAAGAAAAGAGTCTCCTATATCAACCAGTGGGACAGAAATCTGAATGTCTAGTGATATTTAACAAGCACTCTAAATACCCTGCTACCATATCATACCATATACCATACCATATATCACAATAACATACACACTAATAGAAAAAGACAAAAAACATAAGAGGGCCAACCTACTGACTTACCCTTAGTTCAACAATGGCCATAAATTGGATTTACTCCCCAAAAATTCAGAACCAGTTGCTCTTTCAGAAGATTAAAAAAACCTGGCTAACTGGTCATACAGTTTACTTGTCAACTGTTCAGGTTGTCATTTCTGCCACAGAGCAAAAAGTGCTTAACAGGCCTTGTGGCTAAAACATAGGACCAATAGTCAGGATAGAAAATTCTATTCCCATTTCTGCCACAGACTTACTGGGTACCCTTTGACAAGTCACTTAAACTCTCCATGCCTCCATTTCCCCATCTTTAAAACTGGGAAGATATTACTGACATACACATCACTGGTTAGAAAACTGAGGATTACTTAATTAGTGTCTGAAAATTGACCTGAGAATCCTGGATGGAAGTGCAAAATATTACTGAGAGAGTAATAATATTAATAGTTGATGTAGCATCATCCAGCCACTTACACACACTGTGCCTTTTCTGTCTGTCTAATTTTTTATAAGGTCAGCCATCACCATGGTATCTCAGCACTTACAGCATTCAAAAGATATATAAGCCTATTTTAAACGAGCAGTAGTATTTGCAGGGAAGGATATGTTGATGTTGGACTACTGGGTATACTTGTCCTAAAAGTCTTACTTGAAAATTAAAAGTGATCTTCAAAAACATTGTACTAAATCTGTCCATGATATCTTAAGGTGCAGGAATGCCGAAATCAAAAAATAAAGGGGTCCTGAAAGATTTTAAAGGTCAAAACCCAAAGCACCTTGCTCTTCAGTCAAAGATCTCTGTGAGAACAGTAGATTGCAACACGGTAAATCACTAATATGAAAATACAGTCATCAGCAACATTTAGAGTTTATCACTAGTTTTATGGCCTGTTTTAAAAAAATAGCTGTTAAGGCATGTTTGACACACCCGTCTACTGTTGGCAAACACCAATAGTCCTCTACAGTAAGGATACCATAAATTTGTACGGATCTATGAAGAGCAAGGACTTGTTTTAATTCCGCAAATACATTCAGTCCTTTGCATTACTACAGGAAAATAAGTTTCACCACAAACCCATATACAAATTAGGTAGTGAAATGAACCCGGACTGAAATCACTGGTACATGTAGTTACACGCTTACATATTACAGACATTAAAAGTACAAAATATGCTTACAGCACACACCCTTTGAACTGTGTAGGAACTAGGATATTTGAGCCAAGATACACATGCAAGAGTATACAGAAGAAAAATCAAAACAGGTTTGCCTCACTGCCCAGCACTTCTCTTTAAACAAACAAATCCTTACTCTGGAATCCAGGCAGTGGCTTCTGTTATGTGCGTCTGAGTGACCATTGCTGGTGCTGGGGTGTATGGACTCCCAATCAGAACACTCCCTGAATTGGTCAGTCTTTGTGGTGTGCTTATGATCTATGAAAATTAGAAACAAAATTATGTTCTATAAAACAATTTAAAAGTAAATGGACATAAATCAAAACTAATCATGGTCTTAAGCAACAGTAAAACAATTTTAGCATTATATAAACTGCAGTCACATGCACTTAACACTGAAGAGGCATCTCTTAAAAATATGGCCTCAAACTATCCTGCAACATATTATATTCCAGGCCTTAATGTCAGATCCAATTCCACTGTCATTTGGCAATTTCTTTCAATCTAATGAGAGAGATTTTCTTAAGTAAAGAGTATGAAATTGAACTTTTGCTTACAATGCATGTATCAGAGGTGAAAGGCTCTCTCTCTCTCACACACACACAGCTGTCTCTTGATTTTGGGGATCAGTGGAACTGGTGGAAATGGGGGCTGGATACCACTGTAGAAGCAGGCATCAGCCAAGGAGCCTAGGCTCTTGCCCCTTCTGGAACACCTGATGTTGTCCTTGGTGGCAAACAGTTTGATCATGAATCTCCAAAATCAAGAAAATTCTGCAGGACTGTAGATGAATTATATAATCATATACATAAAATTATGAAATCTATACCTTAAAATTCTGTTTAAAATGTTGTCTACATTAAAAGAGACCTGTTGCAGCTGAATCAGCGGGTGCAGCTAATCAGTTCTGAACACAGTTTAACTCAGGGATCTCAAACTCAAATCACCACGAGGACCACATGAGGACTCGTACATTGGCCAGAGGGCCACATCACTGACACCTTTTCATACAAAGATACAAAAGCCCTCCCTCCTCTGCCCCCAGCCCTGCCTCCACTCCACCCCTTCCATGAGGCCCCGTCCCCTCCCTGCCCCTAGTCCAATCCCTTCCCCAAATCCCCGCCCCGCCTCTTCCCCTGAGCGCGCCACGTCCCCGCTCCTCTCCCCCCCTCCTGGAAAGTTCTAAGCGCTGCCAAACAGCTGTTTGGTGGCGGGAAGCGCTGGGAGGTAGGCAGAGGAGCGAGGAACGCGGCATGCTCGGGGGCGGTGGAGGTAGGGGTGCAGGGAGCTATGGTGGGCAGCAGGAAATAACTCAGTGGGCAGCATGCGGGCCTCGTGTTTGAGACCCCTGGTTTAACTCCAAGTGTAGACAAGGACAAACCAAGTTGCCTAAAATAGTAACTTGATTTCTTATTAATCAATCAATCAGTTTACCTGTACTTTTCCTGAGGCCTGTAGTGATCCATGTGAGTCAAAACTGCAAACCTTAGATTTTGATGGGACTAAATTTCAGTCATTCGACTAATCTGGTTGGCTCTTATTCAGGCAATAAAAAAAGGCCTACACAAACAACTGTTAGGTTAGTTGGGTTATGTATTCATGAGGCTTTCAAGTTGTAATGGGTCCACCACAGTAGGGATAAGTATATCCTTCTTGGAACAATCAGAATCCTATGTGTACTGTTGACGCTGGGCCAGAATTTTTTCAGTATCCGATATTGCAAATGCCTCATTCGTAGATGAGCGTAGGGAGTTACATTCATCGCTGAAGCCATGAGACCTATTAACCACACAAAAAACGGATAAATTTGTTCTGGAAATTGATGTAGAAGGTTTAAGGCTGATTTTTTTCTTTAATCATCTGTCTCCACTGTTAAGTCCAAGATGGCTCCTGTAAAAGGAATCCATTGAGTGGGTATTAAAAATGATTTTTCCCAGTTTATTCTGAGCCCTACATTGTTGAAAAGCATACAGATCTGAGGCATGACTATAGAGAGGACTTTCTTTGATGGAACAGGTTGAGAAAGTCCATCCAATAAAGGTGAAATAATTCTGCTTCTAGAGAATTAACCCAAAATATCAAACACTGGGTGTAAAGTCTCCTCCACAGCTCTTTATAGCATGCCCAGAATCTTAGGCATTATATCCTTTAGTTCAGAATAAGAACTACATCCTCTGAAGGGAATGAAAATGAAATCCTTACATTATCACCTGGGATATTTGACCCTCCAATTCTGGATCCATCTCATGAATTCATTTGATTAACATAGTTCTTCTTCCTCCTCTAACAGCATACCAGGAATGATCACTGATCCAGTGTCTTCAGCTCCAGAGGCTTGAAGTTCTCTCCCATGGCAAGTGGAGAAAGTTTCCTTGGATAAATTTGTCCTGGTGAGGGCCAATACAGCTATCTAATCTATGGTGGAACCTGCATTCTGGACAGAATTCTATATTTGGATCCAGGCGATAAAAATTTTGTTGATAAGGATCTTCATCACACTGCCTTCTTACAAGCAGTCTTTCTTTGTGCTGCAGTATCTGTTCCTGATCAGAGTCATATTGCAGATTCAATATCAGTTCTGAACCTGATGCTAGGAGTGATAGAGCTTCTGGCTGTAATATTGAGAAAGGTGAGACTTCTTTGCTCAGAGAATCAGAAGGAGTCTTACATGGAGGAGAAACTGAAGAGCTTTCCTGATTTTGTCCCTATACGCTCGCCCTATTCCCATGTATACTTCCTTGGTGACATGCCCCTCCAGCCATTTCCTGTACATATCCCTTTTGGTTTTTAGATAGCTAAAAAGCTCCTTGTGCAGCCACATTGGCCTCCTGTCTCTCTTATCTTTCCTTTGCATCGGAATAGCTTGATATTGAGCCTCTAGTATTATACTTTTAAGAACTGCCAGCCCCCTTTGACCCTGATCTTTCCATGGGACCATGCCTATTATTTCTATGAGTCTGTTGAAATCCATCTTTCTGAAGTCCAATGTCCTTGTTTTGCTGTTCTCATGTCCTCCTTTCATAGAATATTGAATTCTATCAGATCATGATCACTTCCTCCCAAGTTTCAGACCACCTTCACAACTATTTCAGCCCTGTTGGTCAAAACCAGCTCCATAATGGACGACCCCCTTTACAAATACTTTACAAAGGTTTGTAAGAACCATTATTCCTGATTTACAGATAAGGAAACCGAGGCATAGAGAGATTAAGCAATTCATCTAAGGTCACTGTGTCAAAGTGACTCATCAGCTGGCATGCCACCTTGTGGCTAGGTAAGGTGTTGCAGGGTTTTCTTCTCCGCAGTCTTGCTGCACAGATCTGCTAGTGATCCCCTTTTTCCTTGTGACTTGGCCCTCTGACTCAGTCACCTTTGGTCTCACCACTTTTGGGGTAAACCAGGGTTTTTACCAATAGTCCCAGGACCTCACAGGATGTTGATAGCCTTGAGCCAGGCCTAATAGTCTCTCTGGCAATTGTGTCTGGAGTCTTCCTGCTAGTCTTCCCATTGAGAGTACAGGGGAACTCAGTCCCTCCCTCTACTCTGGGTTCCAACCCAGGGATTATCTGGTCAGTCCTCTTACTCCTTCTGTGGGGTATTCTTCCTGCATTAACCCACCATCTCACCAGGCATCTCTCCTCGGGTCAAGCTCCAAGTCCTAGTTCTCTAGGTAACAAAGAAAAGGAAACTAAATGATTACCGTTAAAGTGCCAAGTCAGTCATTTATCCTTATACTAAGAACTCTGGTAAAGTATTTAAAAAAGAAAGGTTACTTCTCTTCTAGTAACTGCAGTTCTTCAAAATGCGTGCCCCCTATCTGTAGTGCATTGTGGGGGTCCATGTGCTCCATGTGCCAGAAAGCCAAAGATTCTTGCTAGTAGTATCTGTTGGTCTGTGTCTGAGCCCCCTCCTTCTCATGCTTTAAGTACATTAAGTATTCAAAAACACAAGAAATGGAAGCAGATACAGGAGAGCCAGATTGTCCCTTCATCCAAGTTTGAAATCCAGGCCACTTTAGATAGTAACAAATTCTAGTAGATTGCTTTTGTGAGTTAATTAGTACATCCTGCACAGATGAAGAATGCGACTGCTCAAGAGCAGACTGCTCAAGTCCAATCACTCATGTCATCAGGTGAAGAGACTGTGGGTCCATAAGAAAGATCCTGCCCTCCTGCTTGGACAGGAGAGTTGACGGCAGGGGAAGATATGTGAAGACTCTGCTGGACAGCTGAAGGAGACTGGTAATGACCACTGCAGATATGGCCAAGTCGGGGCAATGAGTATCATCCTTGCCCTGTCCTGATAATATCTTTCTTTTAAATCAATGGGAAGAAAGGAAACACATTCATCAAGCCCTTCCTCCAATGCAAAAGGAAGGCATCTGACAGGGACTGTCGGTCTCTGCTTGCTCTGGAACAGAGAGGCAACATATTCTGTTGACCCTTGTTGTGAACAGGTCAACCTTTGACTGACCCCAGCTGGAGAATATAGTCTGAACCAACTGATCCTTTACAGACCATTTGTGCATCTGGGAGCTGTCTCTGCTAAGACAGTTCATGACGATACTGTTTTCCCCTACTAGGTGCAGGGCCACAGGATAAAATGTCATGACAAACACACCATTTGCCTCTGTGGACAGAAGAGCAGAGTGGGCCGCCCCTGTTTGTTGTTGTCATCATCATCATCGGCAATCCCTCAATTCGAGGATGATCTCTACCACAGCTTGATGTAATACATCACTGATGTATTGTCTGTCACAACCTGTACAACACTCCCTTGCAGGTAAGGGAGGAATGATTTGAGAACCAGATGAACAGGTCTTAATTCCAGTACATTGATATGCATGGATCCCTCCTGAGGGGGCCAGTGCCCTTGAACTGTCAAATGATTCAGATGTCCTTCCTAACCCTTTGTTGATGTGTCTGAAGTCACTGTACAGGATGGACTTGTAGGATTGAACTGTGCACCTCTGAGCACATTCGTCTCGACTGACCATCAGTGGAGGGAGACTATGACATTCTGAGGCATGGTGATCAATGACTGAAGGTTGTTCTGATTTCGTCTGTAAACCTGAGACATCCAGTGTTGTAAATGTCTCATCCTTAGATGGGCAAAATGGATTATGTAAGTAGTAGCTACCATGAGACCCAGGAAGAATTTTAAATCTTCTGGGTGGGACACTGTCAATCTATAATGGTACTGACTAATCTTGATAAATCTATTCTCTGGTAGACAAGCTCTGACTTCCACAGAGTCCA